AAAGCAGACACTCCTCGCCTGCCTCAGAGAAGCTTTGTTCCCGTAACCCAGCCCCAGACCCTCTGGGGGATCCTACACCACTCCACTGTGTAGCCCCGACCCCTCCCCGCCCCCTGCAGTTTCCCTGGCCTCAGTTTCCCGGTCGTCGGTGAAATGGGAGAAGAACCCGGCTTCTCCTGGGCTCAACCTAGGACATAAAGAGAAGCAGGTTTACAGAGGGGCAGCTTCCGGCCTGGCATGGGGCACGGTCATTCTGGCTTCTGGGAGGCCGAGGCAGGAGGGTGGTGAGTTCAAACCCAGCCCAGATAATTTAGTGACTTAGTGAGGCCCTGTCTCAAAATTAAAGGTAACATAGGTGGAAGAGGGAGCCCATGCAAAGGCCCTGGGGTCTGCCCCAGCACTACAAAACCAACAGGGTGGCCAGGCACATGGGCTTTGCCCACAAGCAGGGCTTCAGGATTCAAGGTGGTGGGTGGGGACCCTCCCCATCCTGCCCACCGTCCAGGCTCCAAATTTCCCCAGGACCGTTGTCCCCACATCCACCTCCCCCATCAATCTAGCAGCCTTGTGAGCTCAAGGTGGGTGTCTGTATCTGGCCAATGACAGCTCGTCCTGGTCCCCACCCAAGGCTGCCCACACACTTGGTCACGGGCCCTGGACTGGCCAGTGCAGCGTGCTCCAGCCAGCAGGGGGCAGGAGTCTCCCAGGAACAAGGCCCAGGCCACCTGGGGTGAGCTGGGGACACAGGGGTGAAACCTGGTCACCCAGGGGAGGGGTCTAGAGAGGAAGGTGGGCAGAGATCAAACTTGAACCAGGCCTGTCACCCACCTGTCATCCCAGCTTCTCTGGAAGCTGAGGCGGGAGGATCTCCAGTTCGAAGCCAGCCTGGACAGTTTAGCAATTTAGCAATCTTAGGTCCAAAGAAAATCAAAAGGGATGGATGTGGTTTGGTGGTAAACACTCGCCTGGCCTGTGCCAGGTCCTGGGTTTTATGCCCAGCACCGCAGACCACAAAATAAAATAACATAGAATCGATCTCGAAGCTTTTAAAGGACACATAACATAGTTTCAACCCCCCATTCTTCCAGAGACTAGTTTTCTAGTTCAGATATAAGGTCACCAGACAAAGACAGAAAAATAGGAATCCTTCTTGAGACAGTAGCAAATTGAACCCACCCATCTACACAGAGGAGCAAAGTAGAGGCCTGTCCCAGCTACTAGAGGCCGAGGCAGGAGAATCTTGGGTTCTAGCCCAGCCCAGGCAGAACAGAAACCTAAATGCAGTTCAGAGCAAAGGTCCTGGGTTCCATCGCCCTACTGGAAAGGGCAGGGGAATATCACTGCCTGCAATCAATGGACCTTCTCAGGAGGCTGAGGCAGGAGGATCACACGAGTTTGCAGCCAGCCTGAGTACATAGCGAGACCCTGTCTCAAATGAAAACAACAGGCCTTTTTTTGGTTTGTGTATTCATGTTCTTGAGATAGGATGGTATTGTTGTGTAGGTCAGGCTGGCCTTGAAGTCATTTGGTACCCCAGGCTGGTCTCCAACTCACAGCGATCCTCCTGCCTCAGCCTCTCGATTGCTGGGATTACAGACATGTGCCACCATGCTCGGAAAATGCACTTTATAGTCACTCAATTGCCCAGGCTGGGCTCCAACTTGCAATCCTCCTGCCTCAGCCTCCTGCAAAGGGCTCTCCCTCCCACCACCACCACCCCTGCAGCCTACAGGGTGTGACCTTCGGAGCCCTGATCTCCTTGGTGGTTTGCCTTGTGGCGCTGATTTTGGGGCCTTTGTCTCCCCGCCCTGTGTGTGCTGGCAGGGGCTGCGTGGGGACCCCGAATCCCAGGGTCTTGCCCAGGGATTGCCCTGGCATTGCACAGAAAGCGACTCTGGAAACTGTCCTAGCTCATTTCACCGCTGGCCGCTGGCCACGTGTCAGGCGACCTCCTAAATATTCCACAACTGCTGCAGGCGCTCAGCAGATGGAGACCTGCAGTCAGAGAGGTCAGTCAGCAGCCTGGGGTCACACAGCCACCGCCAGCCACACCCGGCCCAGGCCCAGACCTCTGCAGCCCGAGCCTCCTAACCACTCTGCCTGAAGGGCCCAGGACTGTCCCCAGTCACAGCGGGAAGGAACTTGTCAGAGCTCCTGTCCCCCAGACCCCCTCGGGGCTGTGACAGCCGTACCAGATCCCCAAAGTCACAAGGGAGCCAGAGGGGAGGGGGACAGGAGGGCATCTAATTTTAGAAATAATTACACCACATCAGAGCTCCTACTGGGGGGACTCAGACAAGAGGGCCCCCCACCAGGCACCCACACACACCCCTTTCCAGAGGGCCAGGTAGGGCTCCACAGTCAGCGGTCACCTCCCTGCCCCCCAGGATGCCCACTGCATCCCCAGCTGGCTCCGCCCCTGCCTCCCAGGTGGTCCATCTCCATGGCAACAGCCCCCTCACAGGTGGTCCGTCTCCATGGCAACCAGGTAGCTGAGAAGCTGTGACCCAGCCTACAGCCCCTTCCCACGCTTTCTCCCACGCCCCATCAAGGCAGCTCTGGGAGAGGAGTGCAGGGGACCTGCAGGGACCTGGTCACAGAAAGGGAGAGCGACGACCCAAGATCACCCAGCCTGAGCATTTTATTAAGCACCAGGTCCCCCCCAAACTCAGGTGCAGCCCCTGTCCTCCACTGGCTCTCACCAGAAGACAGAGGCTCTGGCCACGGAAAGAAAGGCAAGCGGCACCCACCAGTCCTCGGGGAGGCTGAGGCAGGAGGGTTGCAGCTTGGCGAGACCTCGTCTCAAAATAAAAACCAGAAAAGGGGCCGGGCTGCAGCTCAGTGGGAAGGCTCTGGATTCCAGTCCCAGCACTCAGAAGAGAAAGGATGCGAGGAATGGGGGAGGGGGCCGAAGGTCTCAGTCTCAGGAAGCTGCCAGCACCTCGGTGAGGTACGAGGAACGATGGCCTTAGACAGCCCGCACTGGGAACAAGCACGCTGCCTGATGCCACACTTTGCTGGCTCACATGTGCCCTGCTGCTTATTAGACGCCGATGATGTTGGGGGGCTGAGGTGCAGGGATGACAGGGGAGGGCAGAGAACAAACAAGATAAATCAGCAAATTACAGAGCAACTCGGGGAACTGCCAGGGAGGCTGGCGAGGAGGAACGGAGGCACGTGTGGTGGCAGGGTGACTCAAGGGGAAGGGAGTGGGGAAACAGCTGGTGCAAAGGCCCTGCGCCTAGCCCTGGCCTCCAGCCTCTTCCTGATGACAGAGGCACGGGGCCCCCTGGCCTGCCCCTCCATTAGTGAGGGCAGAATCTTCAGTCCTGGGACACAGAAACACTTCCTTTTTTTTTTTTTTTTTTCCTAAACAAGGTCTTGCTATGTAGCCGGCAGCAGCCCTTCCGCCTCAGCCTCCTGCATGCAGGGCAGGATTGCTGGTGTGTACCACCAGGTCTGGCTGAGACAAGAGACTCTTCCACTCACCCATTTCACAGATAGGACAACTGAGTCTGGAAGAGAGAGATTCCCCCCCACCATGGTCACAGGGCTGGGATGCAGGAGAACCTACACTTGATCCCAGATGATTGGCTATTGTCCCTCACATTCCTGGGGGTAACCTCCCTGATCCCCGATCCCTCCACTTGGTACACCCTTGGTAGGTGCTCAATCAACGCCTTTTCCTAAGAGCCCAGAGAGGCCAAAATCAGAGCCACAAGGCCTCAGAGAGGGGAAGCGGTCTCCCTTAGGTCACACAGTGCTGCAGCCCTGCACCCTGGGGACAGGGCTCTCGTGTCCTTTCCCTGGACCTCTTCTCCTCTCCTCGGCCACCCAAGGAATCTGCCCACCTCATGCTGGTCCCATGGGGGCCCTGGCCTCCGGCCTCCAGGGATGCAGTTTCTGGGCCTCGGGCCAACGCGACAGTCTGGGAACGCAGCCGGCTTGAGTCACAGGTGGCAGAGCGAATGCCAAGCCACCAGCAAAGCTGCGGAGGACACAGAGGGCGGGGGCAGGGCTGGGGACCGGGTGGGCAGTGCGGGGTGACACGCAGGCTCCCGGGGAGCAGCAGGGCTCACTGGGGACACTCGGTATCTGAGTCCCGGAGCAAGTCGGAGGGCCGCTGTGTCCAGGGGCTGGCCGCCCGCTTCTGGCCGCCCTGCTGCCCTGGCTGCTGCCACTGGGCAGTCACAGCCTCCCGGCCGGGGTGTGGATGGGGACCCAACAATGACGCCATGCGGTGCCTCCACCAGGGGCCCCAAGCCTCCTCTAGTCTTGAGGTGCCCAAGCCTAGGAACGGGCTCAGCGCCTCCCGGAAAGACTCCGGCTAAAGCCAGGCAGGGCGCCGCACGCCGGTCATCCCAGCACTCGGAGGCCGAGGCAGGAGGGCCGCTAGGTCCAGGGCGGCCTGGGCAGCTGAGCAAGACCCCCCCCCCGCCGTCTTAAACAGTTTTTTGATGTGTAGAAGGGCTGTGGATGTAGCTCAGTGCAAAGGCCCAGGGCTCCCCTCACTAAGGCAAGAAAAGGAAAAAAAAGTAATGGGGAGCCCTGGCAGGTTCTAGGGCCCAGCAGCTAAGCTGTCCCCTCCGCGGCTTCCCGGGCACCGCAGCAGCTGCAGGCCCTGGAGGTCCAGCTTGGGTGGGGGTGGGGACGCGAGGGGGTGGCCGGTTCCAGACAGGATCGCCCCCACCTTTCCCTAACCCCACTTTCTCCGCTCACCCACCCCTGCCCCCCCCGCCCCCCCTTCGGGTCTCCTCTCCCGCAGTCTGTAGGGAGGGGTGCGGGTGGGAGGGGGTGGGGTGACAAGGGAGTGGGGGAGGGGAGAACGTAGGTAGGGGGAGGGAGAGGGGGGGAGGAGGGGAGGGGGGAGGGGAGGGGGGAGGAGAACGTAGGGGAGGGGAGGAGGGGTGGAGGGGGAGGGGGGACGTTGAGTCCCGGCGCAGATGCAGGCGCCCTGGCCTGCCCCCCCACCTGCGCCCACGTGTCCCCAGCACACCTGCGGCCCCCGCGCGCCCCCGCCCCGCGCTCGCGCACAGGGGAGGCGGGCGGCGGGCGGCGGGCGCGCGCGGCGGGCTCGTGCACAGCGGCGGAGCCCGGGAGGCGGCGGGCTCGTGTCTGCCGGGCCCAGCGCCGAGTCGGTGTCGCGCGGAGCCGCCCAGGTGAGCGCCGCAGCCGGGATCGCGGCCCCACGCGCAGCGCCCGCGCGCCCCTCTCCCTGGAAACTTCGGGGTCCCCTCGCCGCCTGGGGGACGCGGAGGAGCGGGGACCGCGGGGAGCCGGGGGAAAGGGGGGCGCGGGCCTGGACGCGGGGACCCCGGCGCGGGCGGGGAGCCCGGCTGCACCCCTGCGCCCACCCCCGTGTTGGGGCGCCGGGGTCCGGAGCCCGCACCGAGCGGCGGCGGAGCCGAGCTCGCGGAGGAGGATTCGGGGTGCGGGGCGCAGCCCCTGCGCTGCGGGCCTGTGTGGGAGCTGGGGGGCGGCTGCGCCCCCCTCCGAGGCTGGGCCTGGGGGGCCCGGGGCCTCGGGGCCTGGCCCGAGGGTGGGGGGTGCGAGCCCCATTCAACAAGTTGGGGGCCGCACCTCGCGGGGACGGGAAATGCGGGGCCCTCGGTGGCCGCAGAGCCCCTTACAGCGGGGCAGCGCCGCCGGTGCCTGGGCACTGGGGTGCCATTGGTCCCGGTCCCCAAACCCTGAGGAAAGGGAATTTCGGGGCATGGAGGCCCCGGAACCTTCAGATTTACCTCGCACCCCGCAGCGAGCCGAGCCCGTCTGTTCCTGGGGGTCAGGAGCGAAGGGGCCCGTCTGGAGAGCCCCGGGGACCTGCTGGGGACTTCTGGGGACAGCGGAGCCCAGGGAACGTCCTGGGCTCCCGAAGAGGCCAGCAGCTCGCGAGTGACAGCTGCAGGGGCGCGGACTGGAAAGTGTGCCCAGAGTTGGGGCTCTTGGGGATCGGGGTACCCTGCTTCCTCTGCCTCCCTCTGCAGACCCCCTGGGCTCCTCCAAGGACCCGAATGGCGTGGGGTGACCGGCTGGGGACACCCAGGCTCAGGAGTTCCAAACGCGGCCTCCACAGGAGCTCAGGACCTGGGGCTCTTGGGGTTCTCATCTGCAAAGTGGGGGTCGGCACTGCCTGCCACCCCCAGATCAGCCGCTGCCTCCAAAGGGCCCTGGTGTAGGGGAACAGACAGCGGATCCGGATCCGGGCTGAGGCTGCCTGTGTCTGCCCACAGCGCCGTCACCCCCGGGCACCCCTGAGTCAGCGCGCTCCGAGGACATCGAGGACATCGGGCGCCCCAGCAAGCCGCCCACCACCCCACATGGCACTCGGGGGCCCAGACGCAGCGGGGAGGAGCCGGTGTGAGAGGCGGGCTCCGGGCTCCTGTCCAGCTGAGGGCACGTAAGTGAACTGGGGTCTGCTGGGACCCTTTTGTTTTTTTCTTTTTGTACCAGGACTCGAACTCACGCCCTTGCGTTTGTGCGGCTGAGGCACCTCCCACCCTCGGGGTCCCTTTCTCCGCAGTAAATTTCATTGTCCGCCGGCGCTGGTGGGTGAGCGGCCGGCAGTATGCAGTAGGCCCTGAACAAGTGCTTCCTGATCTAGGGCCCCCCCAAGGTGATCCACAGCCCCCCACATGCAGGCTGCCCAGGAAAAGTGGGTCGGGAGGCCCCCACCCCCGAGGGGTTGACAGGAGAAACAGCAGATGGAAACTAATTAGGGCCTAATGGGCTGTCGTGGCTGAAAGCCCAGGAGAGCCTAGATCTAGGACGGAGGACAGGCCAGTCCTGGGGGGCGGCAGTGAGTCCCCAAAAACGGACCTCGAAGAGCAGCCCAAAAGTACACCTAGGAAAGGTGGGCGCTGCGCAAGCCTGGGCCCCCACATTCCACGCTTAGATGCACAACTTGGGGTGAGTGTGGTGGGGAGCAGGGGCTGCAGTGGATGGGAGGGGGCTCGGAGCTCGGACCCCACTGGAGGGCTGTGTGGGGAGGGGCCCCTAGAAGGCCCCTGGCCTGGGCTGGGTATAGATGTCGGACCCTAAGCCTCCTCTGTCTGCAGAGATGGAGGCGCAGGGCTCCCTTCCCCTTCCCGTTCCTAGGGGTTGGGGGCCCAGGGAGAAACCTGGGGGCTCTGAAAAGTCAGCCACCCTCTACGGGCTGCAAGCTCGAATATTTATGCCTCATGGTCCTGGGTTTGGAGGCCAACATGGACCCCTGAGGGCTGAGTCCAGGTGGGGCGGCAAGCCCACTAGTCCTGAGGCTCTGGGAGAGCCTGGTCCCCAGCCCAGCCCCTAGCAGCGCCTGCAACCCTTGGCTTGTGGCCCCTTCCTCCATCTGCAGAGCTGGCAGCTTTGCCTCAGCCTCTCCCAGGCTCTCCTGTGCCTGCTCAGGGTGACCCTGAGGATCACTGTGCCCTGCTGGTCAGGATGGTCCCCCTCAGAGTCTGTCACTTAGACCAGCTGCAGGGTCCCTCCGGCCATGGTGAGTGACAGGGCTACAGGTCCCAGGATTCGGATGCAGACGCCTTTGGGAGCCACGTTGTGGTGGCCCAGGCCTGGTTCCCCTGCTCATTGTCCTGTAGCTCAGCCATCCAGCCAGTGTGACAACGGATTCCCCCTCCCGCTCCGCTCCCCTAGACAGAGTAGCAGACTTGGTGTTTTAGCCAGCAAGAATGGCTCCAGGCATACCGCAGGCACACACTAAGTGACTTCTGAACCAGTGTGAAGGAGCAGACCTGTCATCCTAGCCCTCTGGGAGGCTGACACAGGAGGATCACAAGATCCAGGACATCTAGGTGACTTAGCAAGACCCTGTCTCAAAGTAAATGCAAAGGGCTGGGGCTGGAGCGCAGTGCAAAGGCCCTGGGTTCAATCCCCAGCACCACAAAACAGAGAAAAAGCTCTAAGAGGCAGAGGCAGGAGGATCACCAGCATGAAACACGTGGCAAGCGCATGGCTCAAAAAAACCCATACATTTACTGGGTGCAGCTCAGCGGTAGCCCGTCCCTAGTACACCCCCAGAATAGCCCGAGTAGGACCCTTGTCATAGGGTGGCTGTGCCCCCAGAGAGCTGGGGAGCTCGGGGCTGCATGGGCTGGGGTATGGGACATCAGGGCCGGTGTGGTCAGGGGGTGGCGGTCAGGGGATGGTGGGGCCGTGCAGTCCCGGCTCGGCCTCCCTCCCTGGCCCAGGCCCGCCCCCTCCGCTGCCCGGGCTCCCGCATGGTAATGAGCCTGCGTCCCTTCCTGGACCCCCCAACGCCCAGCAGCGCATGCGCCACGGCAGTGCCAAGGCCAGCAGCCCCAGGGCAGGATTTTTTTTTTTTCCTTTTTCTCTTTGTGCACTGGGTCTTGAACCCGGGACCCAAGAGCATCACACTGACCACTATCTGCAGCCTTTTTTATTTTTGATCTCCAGGCAGGGTCCCGCTGAGTGACTAAATTGCCAGGGCTGGGCTCAACTGTGCAACCCTCCTGCCTCAGCCTCCCCAGTGCTGGGATGACAGGCATGGGCCACCACGCGCGGCTCTGGCTTCGTGCCTGTGCCACGGGGCTCATCCTTGTTCCCTCGGGCAGGGTGCGGGGACACAGCTGTCCCCTGTTGCCTGGCAGTCATAGCAGTGTTGCAGTGTGTGTCTTTCTGGGTGTCTCTCCTCGAGGAGAGGGCTGGTGGTTTCATTGACGGGTGGGGGAGGGGCTGCAGGCTCGGGTGTCGTGGGTGAGGTTGGGACAGTGGCCCATCTTGGGGACGCCGGGGACGTCAGAGGCCCAGGTCAAGAGCTCAGGGGACACACAGTGTCCAAGAGCTGGCAGGGAGCGAGCTCAGTGAACGCCCGAGGGGGACAGATGGGGGGCCTGCGGGTCCCTTCCCCAGGCACACTGGGACAGAGACCGGAGATGGCAGCCCACGCCTCCCAGCCTGCAGGGCCCGATTTTCTCCCTGGCCTTCGGTGGGGATGGAACCCGGGTCTTGGCGCTGGGTCCATTTATTTTGAGACCGGGCCTCACAAAGCCCCTAAATTTCCTAGACTTGAACTGGTGATCCTCCTGCCTCAGCCTCCTGAGCAGCGTGGGTGTTGAGCATGAGCCATTCTGCCTGGCTTCAGGTCTTGTAGGGGTACAGTGTCCCCACACCAGGAGAGCAGTTCAAGAGTGCAATCTGGCAGCAGAGCAACAGGTATGCCAGCACTGGGGAGGCCGAGGCAGGAGGACTGCTGCGAATTCAGGGTGGGTGAAGGCCAGCCTGGACCCCACAGCAAGACGCTGGCTCTACAAACAAGAACAGAAAATTGGGAATCCGCCCCCCCCCCCGCCCCGCTGCCATCAGGAGTGGGGTCCCAGCCTCCTGAACCTTCCCGGGCAGTGAGGTCCAGGGCCACAGAGGGAAAGCCCCTCTGTCCCCCCGGCCCCCTGTGGGGGGAATGATGGCAGGCCGTGCCATCAGGACAGAGGGAGAAACTAGGTCACAGCTCGAGTGGCCCGGCTGGGCGGGCCCCAGGGATCAGCCGTCCTCCTCCAAGGAGTAATTATAGAGCCAGAGCCCGCGGGGCGCCCTGGAGTGCTTGTGCCCGCAGGTTGACAGCTGAGGGCCAGCGAGGGTACAGATGCCACCAGGGTCACTCAGCAAGAAGGGATCATGGTGTCCTGCTGGACTCTGAGTGGCTGCCCCGGGCGGCTTCTGCCCCGTTGGTACTGGAATCCACTTGAGGTCTCCATGTTTATCTCTCCGCTGCTTTGAAAATCCCGTGCCTTTAAAAGTCACGGCACAGAGGGCTGGGGATTTAGCTCAGCAGCATAAGTGACTGCCTTGCCAGCAGGCGGTCGTGAGTTCGATCCCCGGTACCGATAAAAAGGAAAAAGGACCCCCCCCCCCAAAAAAAGTCACAGGCACAGGCCTGTGAGCCCGGCACTCGGGAGGCTGAGGCAGGAGGGTGGCAGGTTTGTCCACCCTGGGCAACTTAGAGATTTAAGCCAACGATGGAGCTCAGCGGGCAGCCCCGGACTGCATGCCAGGACCACACACAAAAAAGTTCTTCCCAAAACAGGACCACGTTTTAAGTTCTAGATGAAGAGCTGAAGGGTTCTGTCTTTGATCTGTTTTGGGTTTTTTTTTGGGGGGGGGATTGTTTGTTTGAAACTGGGTTAGGGTCATAGCGATCCTCCTGCCTCAGCCTCCCGAGTGCCAGAATTATAGATAGGCACCACCTTACTGGGTTTGTATTTTTTAAAGGAGGGGAAAGGGAGAGGTTAACTAGCAGGACAGGATGTGAGTGCACCCAGCTCTCCTCTGGGAATTCCCTGGTCCCCACAGGAAGGACCAAGTGGTACCTGAGGAGTGGGCAACCATCTCCCCAGGAACGCTGCAGTCTTAGAGGCCCCAACTCAGGCCCCAGAGCCACCCACTGAAAGCACAGTACCATGAACCTTTGCTGAGGTTGTGGGGCATGCAAAGGTCCTGGGGCACAGGGAGCAAGTGAGGGTCTCAGTGGCTGGGATGGTGGAGGTGGCCTTAGCCAGCAGTAGTGGCACTGAGACAGACATTGATGGGATGAGGGAGGACAGCCTAGGGGCACGGAGAATGAGGTGAAGGTTGGTCCTGCCCACCCAGGGAGCCAGACTCCACCTAAAGGGCCCCAGCAGTGGGTGTGGGGGTGTGGCACGCTGCAGGTGCTTCCGGTCTTTTACGTGGAGATTTGATTGGCACTTTGGGGACACAGGAGTATGGACTGTGTCACAAGAGTAGCCAGGAAGGTGACATTTCCAGTGGGACCGGTGTGAGGTGAAAGGCCAGGCAGGGAGGGCTGTGCAGGCAGAGACACAGCTGTGTAAAGGTCCTGGGGCAGCCCGGAACCGGGTGCATTGCCGGGTCAGCCAGGGGCCGAGAGGGAGGTGGGGAGGGGACAGGACAGGCGGGTCCTGCAGGGAGGATTTTGGTTTCACTCTAAGCCTATGAAGTTGTTTCCCACAGAGGACAAATGCGGCGGTTGTGTTCCTACCTGAAGGCTTTCGTTTTGGGTTTTGGGTTTTCTGTTTTGTTTTTAGAGACAGGGCCTCACTGTGCATCCCAGGCTGGCCTGGAACACATGGCGATCCTCCTGCCTCAGCCTCCCGAGGGCCGGAATAACAGGCATTTGTCACCAGGTCCCGCTTCTTGCTGATAGTTTTGCTTCAGGGACTGAGAGCATAGGGGCCCCGACCCTCCAGCATAGGCCGTGAGCCTTTGTCCCCCATCTCCGGGACAAGCAGAAACACACGCAGCAGTGGCCGCAGAGTCAGGGCAGGCTGGAGGTGGGAGCGGCCGGGATCATGGGCCGGGCAGCTGGCGAGGGGCGTGACAGCAGCCAGTCTGTCCTCCTGTCCCCTCCGGGGACTCCGGAGGGGCCGGGCGGGGTGACCTAGAAAGCCCAGCGGCAGGCAGGCAGGCAGGGGATTACACTCCCGGCTGAGCCCGGCTGGCTTAGGTCACTTCCGGTGGGCGCCTGGGCAGCCCGGGCGGGGACCCCTGGGGTTCCCTTGCCGCGACCTTCCTGTTACGGTGGGGTTCCCAGCATTTTGGGGGTGTCCTGCTGTGTCCCCCTGAGGCCACTGGAGGCCCCCTTTGTCCCGTCATGACTTCCCCTGGGGTAGCTGCCACCTCGATGCCCCTCTACGGAGCTGGGCGCCCGCTGTCTCCCCTGGGGCCGCCCTCCTCGGCCCTCACTGATGGGCACTTAGCTTAGCTCCGTGACCTCCCCCAAGACCAGGCTCAGCTGGCTAGGCACTGTGGGTCCCCCACATTCAGCAGCGGATACGACGGGGTGTGGTAACACACAGCTGTCACCCCAGCACTCGGGAGGCTGAAGCAGGAGGATCCACTGAGTCTGGGGTCCCTGGGGCTTTGTTTGTTAGGTTGAGCTGGACTCGAACTCACAGCGATCCTCCTGCCTCAGCCTCCCGAGAGCTGGGATGACAGGCGTGTGCCACCAGCTCATTTCTCCCCTATTGCTGGTCACTTTGAGGAATTCCAGCTTCTCACTGTTTAAAGTGACAGTGCAAGGACTAGGGATTTAGCTCAGTGGCATAAATACCTGCCTGGCAAGCATGGGGTCATGAGTTCAATCCCTGGTACCAAAAAAATAAATAAATAAATAAATAAATAAATAAATAAATAAAATGACAGTGCAGAAACTCTGAAGATGAATCTCCCCAGCCTCTGCCCCCCACCCCGTCACACAGCCTTCTGTGTGTATGCACACACGTGTGCATGGGACCTCTCCTCCACCAAGGTGACCTTTGCTTTTCTCTCCCTTCTGCCATTCTAGGAACTGACCACAGGGCCTTTGCACTGAGCTCCATCTCCAGCCCTTTTTATTTTGAGTCAGGGTCTTGCTGAGAAACTAACGTGAGCTGGGGATACAGCTCAGTGGCACAGCGCTTGCCTGGCAAGCGTGAGGTTGTGAGTTCAAGTCCCAGAACCCCCCAAAATTAAGAAACTTAAGTCACTAGGCTGGCCTTCAACTCACAGGGATCCTCCTGCCTCAGCCTCCCACGGGCTGGGGTGGCAGGCAGGCGCCTGGTTTGTGACTTCCCATTCTGCTTGCTGTCACCAGTATGGACCAGGCCGGGATGCGGTTCCTGGTGAGCTTGGTCTCACTCGGGGTTCCCAGGGGTTCAGTGGGTCCCCAGAGCCGGGTCAGGGGACCTGAGGGCACCCCTGGGGGCTTCAGCTGCTGAGTTGCCAAAAATAAACTGCTGGCAGATGGGAGGCCCCAGGCAGAAGCAGCAGCGCCATCTGGCTTCCTCCCCTGCCCACCTCAACCCCTGAGCTGGGCTGCAGCTGGGGTGGGGGGTGGGGTAGCTGGGGAGACAGGCCTGCAGCCAGGAGACACAGCCAGGAGGTCGCTGCCCCAGGACTCTGTGCCCACCTCGCCCCCGGGCCTTTGCACAGGCAGCTCCCAGCCTGGAACGCACTGTAACAAAGCACCCTGGACACACAGTACAGGGATCGAGGTATGGACAGGGCTGCTCTCCATCTGGAGCCTCAGGGGCTCCTTCTGCTGCCCCCCAGATCCCGGAGCTCCAGGCTCCCTGGCCTCAGCCGCGTTGCTGCAGTCTCTGCGCTGATCTCTCCCTGCTCTGTTCCCCCACCGGAGTCTGGGTGTCCGAATTTCCTTCCTGTGAGGTTGCCAGGCCCTGGGCCACGGCCACCTCGGCCAGTGTGAGCGTCCTGACTTGACCCCAACTGCAGAAACACCGTTACAGCGAGGTCCCTGCACCCCCTGAGCCAGTCCTCAGAACGTCCTTGGGAGGGGGGGTGCCATGACTCCCGGTCCCCAGCAGGGGGCGCCCGTGGGGCCCACGGAGGCTCGCAGTGCGGAAGGTTCAGTCCAAGGGTTGGGCAGGCCTCGGGGAATTAAAACACTGCGGGTTCCAGGGGCGGTCAGAGAGGTTTAGAAGACAGGGCCACAGAGGCAGGGGGACGCCGAGGGCTGAGCTCTGATGCCGGGGGGACAAGAAGACAGTTGAGCCATCCGTGCTTCCCTGCTGCTGGTGTGAGCCCCGAGAGCGAGGTCCTTGGTCACTCATTCCCAGTGCACACAGGCCAGGAGAAATAAGCATCAATGAATGTATTATTATTATTATTACTATTTCCTTGGTTTGGGGTTTTTTTGAGGTAGAGTCTCACTATGCAGTTCAGGCTGCCGGGAACTCTCAGGGATCCTCCTGCCTCAGCCTCCCGAGTGCTGGGATGACAGGGCTGTGCCACCTCCCAGCACTGGAGATGGAACCCAGAGCAGGCGCTCGCCTCTGAGCTGCACCCTGGCCCTTTTGATGTTCTGTTTTGATGCAGGGTCTCAGTGAGTTGCTCAGGCTGGCCTCAGGCCTGCAGCTGTCCTGCCTCAGCCTCCCCAGCTGCTGGGATAATAGGTACCCGAGGTTAATACCGTTTGCAGCAAAATCCATACCTTGGGTTCCTGTAGCTCCTCTCCAGTGCAGTGAATCCTCTCTCTGATGACATTTTATGGAGGTAAAAATCCACATCTCGGAGCTGAGTTTTAGGGCAACCCTGTAATCCCAGTCCTCAAGAGGCCGAAGCAGGAGGGTCGAACATTCCAGGCCAATCTAGGCAACTTAGTGATTTTACTGTCTCAAAAAAAAAAAAAAAAAAAAAAAAAAAAAAAAAAAACAGGGGCTGGGGCAGAGTTTGGCCCAAAGGCCCTGGGTCAGTCTCCAGTACCGAAAAAAGTAAGTAAATAAAAAGTTGACAAACCACGTAACATAAACTCACCCTTTAAGTACAGTTCGTGCCTGGCGAGGTTGTGAGGTCGAGCCCCAATACCAAAAACTAAACAGTGTCCAGTTCATTTGGTGGTGTTTAGTGCAATTACATGGTTGCAAAACCACCCATCCCTTTCTCCCCAGACCATGCCATCAACTCAGAAGAAACCCAGTCCCTGTGATCAGTCACCTGTCCTCTCCCCAGTCCCTCGGGCCCACTTCCTGTCTCTGGAGTCACCTGTCCTGGGCATTTCCAGTCCATAGAGTCCATGCCGTGTCCGGCATCTTTCCCTGAGCACACTGTCCCCAAGGTGGACCCTTGCTGTGGCAACTGTCACTGCCATGTTCCTTTTGCTGGCTGAGTAATATTTCAGCCCTGGTGGACCATCCCTCTCTGCATGGACACATGGGCTGGTGCCACCTTCCGACCACTGGCCATGCAGCCTGCAGTTTCTAGGGTTCAGTTCTGTCACACCCCAGTAGAAGAGTTGGGGGGGATCCCACGCTGGGGACCTGCTCCGGGCCTCCCTGGCGGGTTTAGGCCGGGTCCAGAGGCTCCGGAGGGAGGTGCTGACCCTGTTTGGTCCCCAGGTGCGCGTGAGGATGCTGGCACGGCCCTAGGCCAGGCTCCGCACGATGACCTGCTGGCTGCGCATGCTCAGTCTGCACCTCCTGCTGCTGCCCGCCGCGCCACCGCCGGCCCGGGGCTGCCCCGCCCGCTGCGAGTGCACGGCGCCCACGCGAGCGGTGGCCTGCGCGCGCCGCCGCCTAACAGCCGTGCCCGACGGCATCCCCGCCGAGACGCGCGTGCTGGAGCTGAGCCGCAACCGCATCCGCTGCCTCAACCCGGGGGACCTGGCCTCGCTGCCCGCGCTGGAGGAGCTGGACCTCAGCCTCAACGCCATCGCGCACGTGGAGCCGGGCGCCTTCGCCAACCTGCCCCGCCTGCGCGTCCTGCGCCTCCGGGGCAACCAGCTCAAGCTCATCCCGCCCGGGGTCTTCACGCGCCTGGACAACCTGACCCTGCTGGACCTGAGCGAGAACCAGCTGGTCATCCTGCTGGACTACACCTTCCAGGACCTGCGCCGCCTGCGCACGCTCGAGGTGGGCGACAACGACCTGGTGTTCATCGCGCGCAGGGCCTTCGCGGGGCTGCTGGCCCTGGAGGAGCTGACCCTGGAGCGCTGCAACCTGACGGCGCTGTCCGGGGAGTCGCTGGGCCACCTGCGCGGCCTGGGCGCCCTGCGGCTGCGGCACCTGGCCATCGCCACGCTGGAGGAGCAGAACTTCTGCAAGCTGTCGGGGCTGCTGCACCTGGAGATCGACCACTGGCCGCTGCTGGAGGACGTGGCGGCGGGCAGCCTGCGGGGCCTCAACCTGACCTCGCTGTCCGTCACGCACACCAACATCACCGCCGTCCCCGCCGCCGCGCTCCGCCACCAGGCGCACCTGACCTGCCTCAACCTGTCCTACAACCCCATCAGCACGGTGCCCCGGGGCTCCTTCCGTGACCTGGTGCGGCTGCGGGAGCTGCACCTGGCGGGGGCGCTGCTGGCCGTGGTGGAGCCCCAGGCCTTCCTGGGCCTGCGGCAGATCCGCCTGCTCAACCTCTCCAACAACCTGCTGTCCACGCTGGAGGAGGCCACGTTCCACTCGGTGAACACGCTGGAGACGCTGCGCGTGGACGGCAACCCGCTGGCCTGCGACTGCCGCCTGCTCTGGGTGGTCCAGCGCCGCAAGACCCTCAACTTCGACGGGCGCCTGCCGGCCTGCGCCACCCCGGCCGAGGTCCGCGGCGACGCGCTGCGCACCCTGCCGGACTCGGCGCTCTTCGAGTACTTCGTGTGCCACAAGCCGCAGATCCGCGAGCGCCGCCTGCAGCACGTCACGGCCACGGCGGGGGACGACGTGCGCTTCCTGTGCCGCGCCGAGGGCGAGCCCGCGCCCAGCGTGGCCTGGGTGACGCCGCAGCACCGGGCGGTGACGGCCACCAGCGGGACGGGCCGCGCGCGCCTGCTGCCCGGGGGCACGCTGGAGATCCTGGGCACGCGGCCGCAGGACAGCGGCACCTACACGTGCGTGGCCAGCAACGCGGGGGGCAACGACACCTACTTCGCCACGCTGACCGTGCGGCCCGAGCCCGCCGCCAACCGGACCCCGGAGGACGCGCGCAACGAGACGCAGGCGGCCGCGCGCTTCCCGCTGGACCTCACCACCGTCCTGGTGTCCACGGCCATGGGCTGCATCACCTTCCTGGGCGTCGTGCTCTTCTGCTTCCTGCTGCTCTTCGTGTGGAGCCGCGGCCGCGGGCAGCACAAGAACCACTTCTCCGTGGAGTACTCGTTCCGGAAGGTGGACGGGCCCGCGGCCGCCGCCGGCCAGGGCGGCGCGCGCAAGTTCAACATGAAGATGATCTGAGCCGCCGTCCTCCGGTGCGCCCGCCGGGGGCCGTGGCAGCCGGCCGCAGGGCGCCACCCCGCTGTTTTTGTGGGCGCCCAGCTTGTTTTTCTGCCGAGCGCGTCTTTTTGCAGTTTCTCGGGACTCTACTAAAGGTCCCCGCCTGTGTCCCGCGCCCCCCCACCCTGCTGTGATGGGGGGTGCGGGGTGAGGGGCCCCAGGAGGTGCCGGTGCCCCCAGCCTGCTCCCCTGCAGCTGTGTGTCCGGGGTGACAGCCGCCCCAGGGGAGGGTGCACAGAGGGTCAGCCCTGCTCACACCCAGAGTGCGCCAGATTCACACCAGGGCCCCAGATCCTGCTGGGCGGGGCGCGTGCACACCCCACACGCGGGTACTCATTTCCCTGCAGGACACACCCGGCCCACGGCAAGGGCATGCCACTCACACCCAGGGCACACTCAGCTCGCATCGAGGACACTCTCAATTCACACTTAGCACATTGGCTTCACACCAAGTACACACCCGGTTCACACCTCCCAGGCACACCCGGCCCATGCTGGGGACCCGCAGTTTACACCAGAAACGCGCGGTGCACAGCGGCACACACTCAGCTCACACGTAATGCACACGCAGTTCACAGCAGTGCACCCGAGTGGCCCTTGTCGTGGTCCCGCAGCCAGGTCCCCTTCCTTCTCCCCTCCCTCCCTCCTTCTGGGACCTGTGGGCCAGTGGGGCGCCCACTAGAAGCCCTGTCCCTGGCATCCGCAGCACCCCCAGCCCCTCGATGCCCAGCCTCAGGGTCCCTCCCAGCCTCTGGCCTGCAGAACCGAGCAGCCCCGGATGGGCGTAGAGCAGACAACTGAGAGCACCTCCCGGTCCCTGGCACGCAACTTCGGGCTGCGACAGGGAAGTGGGCTGAACAGGGAGGCGCCTCGCACAGAGCACTGAGGGACATCGAGAGGATGGGGTCTCTGTGACTGGGGGGCAGAGCTAGGACCAGAGTTTGAATCCCAGGCTCAGCTGCAGCTCTGGGGAAGAAAGACCCCTCCCCCCAGACCACTGCAGGTAGTGAGCTGCCCGTCGCTGGGGTGCAGCAAGCAGGAGATACCAGACTACCTCAGCCAGATGACCGTTGGGACACTGTCTCGGGAGGAGGCACAGGAACTCAAGAGGCCACAGACCCCGACCTCTGCGCTGGGAGATGTTTAAGCCGGCCCTGGCCCTGCTGCCCTGCAGTGTGTTCTCTGCTGGTGACCGGGACCCCCAGGTCGCTGGTGTCTTCTCTCCTTACGTGGCTCGAGTCCCGGCCTGCAGACACGCTGCGTGGCTTTTCCTGCATCCTGGCTCCCTCGAGACTGTGGCCAGGTCTGAAGCTGGCTTTGTGCAAAGGACTGGGCAGGACCCCAGCTGGGCCGTGGACTGGGCCTCGGTGACCCCTGTCCCTGCCTGCAGTGTGCAGTGACCAGGGGGGTGCAGGCCAGGGGTATGGAGCCGCCGCCCAGACTCCGCCCCGGAGCCCAGCCAGGCAGAACACACGGTGGTCCTCCTTGGCCTCCAGGCCCTGTTGCCATGACAACCTGGAAGGCCTCCTGACCCTGTTGCCATGACGATTCCCAAGGCCTCCAAACAGCCTCCAAGTGCCTTTAGCATCACACAAAGACTGGGCGGGGAGGGAGGGATGCATTCCTGGCAGCACTGGGGGTGACAGCTTCAGTATTGGGGGTCCCCAGGCCTTTCTCCCCAGTCCCAACCCAAACCCAGACCCCTCTGCCCACCTCCTTCTCCACATCCCGCTGTATTTGATTGGAATCCAATAAAACGGAAAGTGATTTAATAAACAAACTTCAGGTTGTTTTTATTATTCCTGTGGAGGAGGGATGGGAAGGGGGCCCCCCGAAAGGGAAGCACTGGGCCAGGTCCTAAGGTCCCACAGAAGGAGCTGAGTGTGTGGTCCGGGCCTGTCATCCCAGCACCAGGAGGCTGAGGCAGGAGGATCACTGGGAGTCTAAGGCCAGCCTGGGCTACACAGAGAGATCCCGTCTCAATAAAGGAAAAAACCAGGCTGGGCAGGGTGGCACAAGCCTGTAATCCCAGCACCCGGGAGGCTGAGGCAGGAGGATCACTGGGAGTCTAAGGCCAGCCTGGGCTACACAGAGAGATCCCGTCTCAATAAAGGAAAAAACCAGGCTGAGCAGGGTGGCACAAGCCTGTAATCCCAGCACCCGGGAGGTGAGGCAGGAGGATCACTGTGAGTTCAAGGCCAGCCTGGGCTACACAGTGAGCTGAAGGCCAGCCTGACAGCGAAACCCTGTCTGAAAAAGACTAAATAAATAAATAAAATAAAATAAAAAAACAGGACAGAAGGAATCAGGCCATGAGACCCAGCTAGGAAGAACTATGGGTCCTAGGAGAAACTCCTGCGGTGAGCTCGGGTGGGGGTGGGGCAGAAGGAGAAGTGGGCTCTGACCTCCCTCCAACCCGGAGGTCTGGGAAGCCACAGGGTGGGGGGCTGACGTCCCAAAAAAACAGTAATAAAAATGCTTTATCACTAGGCATGGTGGGACACACCTGTCACCCCAGCACCCTGGGAAACTGAGGCAGGAGGATCACAAGTTCTAACCCAGCCTGGGCAACTTAATGAGCCCCTATCTGAAAATACACAATACAGAGAGGCTGAGGATGGAGGTCAGAGAAAGGCCCCAGGTTCAATCCCTAACACTGTAAAAAAAAAAATTAAGCTTTTTATTCAAGCTCCACTTGACAGAAGGGTAAACTGAGGCACAGAAAAATGGCAGAAACCTGGAGTCCAGGCTCCAATCCCTCCTGCCAAGATATAGGCAAACACCTGTAATTCCCTAATTTTTTTTTTTTTTTTTTCGTGAGCCAGCGTCAGGCTGGCCTTGAATTCACTGTGTAGCGCAGACTGGCTTCAATCTTGAAGTGATCCTCCTGCCTCAGCCCCTTGAGTATGTGGGATTTCAGTGGGCCTCGTGAGCCTCAGTTTCCCCACCCAGAAAAGCTGCCATTCCCGGTCCAGCGCCTCTGAGTTTCTGACTCAAGACCAAGGACAGGACCAAGATTGTCCCCCCTCCTGTCATATCTCGGGGTGATTGTGGGAGAAGTTACCCCAGCCAAGGGGGACCCTCCTTCTGCAGGCAGCCAGGGCCCAGCTGGAGTGAGCCCTAAGAAGAGGCCCTGGGAAGGGAGTCTGGGGTCCCCCCAAAACAGCATCAGACAGCACCGTCTGCCTGGTGGCCCAGGCACCCTGGATTCATCCCAGATGGGGCAGAGTGGGGAGCAGCTGCCCAAGCCCACGCCAGACCCCGGCGCATCACAACCCCAGCTCCCGACTCAGATGTGCTTTATGGGGGTTCCGACCCCCCCCCCCCCCCGTCCTCTGTAACCTGCCAGGTGATTGCCCGGCTGGGCTACGTAACTCCCTGCCCAGGGCCTTCACGCCAAGCGACGCGACGACCCCAGCTCGTTTTAGTTTGCATTTGGGGACGGAATCTAGCAAAGTCAAAGCTGTTCAAGCTTTGCAGCTTGCAATCCTCCTGCCTCAGCCTCCGCCTCCCACAGGCCTGCTGTGAGTTCGAGGCCAGCCCGAGCTGCCTAGAGAGACCCCACCTCAAACATCAAAACAGAACAAAATCCGCGGTTTCTTTCTTCCCGGGGGCACAGGGTGGGCTGGTGACGCCCCCTAGGGTCACACACTCGGGGGCTCGGGACAGGACGGGGGCTCCTGAGGCAGCCCGCAGGGGAAAGTGTTTCTCAGGAACTGAAAAACCGCAGGAGAAGCTGCGCGGTTTCATGGCTCCCGGAAGGGCCGAGTCCCCAGGCCCCAGGCTTTCAGGGTCCCGCTGCCACCCGCCCACCCCAGCAGGGGGGTGGGGAGCTTGTGGCCCTCCGCGACCCCCCCAGGCTGCTGACTTCGGGGTCCCGTCTTCGCCCAGGCTGTTCCCCGGCTGGGACGCCCTTCCACCACCCTGGGGAGGCCGGGCTGACTGAACCCCACGGGGGAAGTGAAGCAAAGGGGCCCCGCGCCCCACCCCGGGCCCAGCCCGTGACCTCAGAGTTGCTCCACAGGCTCTGTGGCCACCAGCCAGAGCCACCGCGGAGGCCGTGTCCCCCGAGTCCCTCCAGCCTGAAGGTAGGGACCCCGGCCCGGCAGAGGCCGCAGCTCTGTGCTCTTTGCTTTGATCCCCTTTCCCAGTCCCCGAGATCAAGCCCAGCGCCCCCTCTCTGAGCTGCGGCCCCAGCCCCTTGCCCAGCCCTTTTTAAGATTTCTTTTGAGACAAGGTCTTGCTGAGTTGCTAAAGCTGAGCTGGAGAAGGTGAAACCCTCCTGCCTCAGCCTCCCAGAGTGCTGGGACGACACACGTGTGCCACCCGAGGGGGCTCAGAAACAGCAAGTCTTTGAGGCTGGGTGGGGACCCGGGGGCTGGGACAGTGAGATGCCCTGCAGTGTGGGTGGGCTGGGCGTGTGGCGGGGTTCAGGCATGGTTCCCGCTCATTGTCACCCCCTGCCGCTGCCCCCCTGGACACCCCATCCTGCGGGCTGCACATTCTGCCCCTGCGTAGGATATACAGGCCTGAAGGATGGATGGGTGGCAGGCCCGTCTCGTGAATCAGGAAGGGTCAGAGAGGGCAACAAACTCACCCAGGGTCACCCAGCAGCTCCAGGGCTGGCCAAGACACCCAGTCAGGCAGTCAGAGCGGGTGACACGGTGGGCCCCTTCCCCACAGCCCCCAGGAAGCACTCAGCCCCTAAGCTGTGTGCTCTGTCACCCGGCATGCCCCTCCCACCAACAGTATGAGTGGCCCCGAATCAGCCACGGAGACCCCGGAGCCCAGGGACCTGGGCCTGATGGCGCAGCCCACCTACTGCAACCTTGGTGAGCAGCCAGCTGGGGGCTCTGGGCCGGGATGGCGGGGAGGGCTGCGAGCGCCGGGACACAGGAACCAGTGGTGGCCACAGGGCACCGGGAGGGAAGTTTAAACAGTCACCTGCACAGCCAGGCAGGAAAACGGGGCTTCCTTGGGGGCTGGAAGGCATGGGTCTCTCTAGGTCACTGCTCTGGAGCCTCAGTTTCCCTACCTGCAAACTAGGGCTGGGCCTCCTAACCTACAGACACTGGGCAGTTGGCTAGTTAGGTTTTGTTCTATTTGTGATACTGAAGATGGACAGACCCCAGGGCCTTTGCATTGCACTCCATCCCCAGACTTTTTATTTTTTATGGCTCAAACAAGAGATCCTCCTGCCTCAGCTTCCTAGCATGCAGAGATGACAGCCCTGCACCAGTATGCCTGGCATCATTCCCATTTTAGAGATGGGGAAGTCGAGGCTGAGATGTGGTCACAAGGGCTCCATGGCCTCCCAGACTCTCAACACCCCCCCCCATCTCCTGCACAGGAGAGGTCCGCGCCGGCCTGCTGCCCTCCAAGGCCTGCCGGCCCCGCACCCCCGGGTCCCTCTCCTCCGACTCCCAGCCCCCGCCCCTGCCCAAGAAGACCCTGACTCGGACGAAGTCCCTGCCCACTCGCGGAGTCCCCGGCGCCCGCCCGGCACAGCCCCGGAGGCCACTCCTGGCGTCCCACAGTGTGGACGGGTGCCAGGGAGAGACGGGGCCCGACGGTCCGGCTGCAGAGCTGACCTCGGGCCACGATGCTGATGGTGAAGACGCGGCCACGGCGCTGGGCCTGCGGCTCCACGGGCCCCACGGCCCCGAGGCCCTGCACGCAGCGCTGGCCGCCCGCGAGCTGCAGGGGCTCCGCGCCATCCACGCGCGGCTCGGGGCGCGGCTCACGGGCGGCCTCCCGGGCCCCTGCGGCGCGGGCCACAGCTTCCGCCTGCTGGAGCTCGCGCCCTGCGCCGAGAGCGGGGATGCGCTCTACTACCGCGTGGTGCGCGCCGGCGACGACGCGTGGCACGTGCTGGCGGCCAAGGTGAGCCCGCAGCTCGGGGCCCGCCTGCCATTTATTTAGCATTTATTTATGTATTGAGAGGCAGGGTCTCGCCACGCAGTTGGCCTGGAACTTCCGTAGCCCAGTTTGCGCTCGAACTCGTGGGGATCCTCCTGCCTCAGCCTCCCCGGGCTAGGACACGCATGGGCCACCAGGCGGCCCCGTGTGGTCCACCTACCGTGGCCACCTCTCTCTTTACCCAGGGGACTTTAAGAGCTGCCCCCTGTGACCCCCCCCCCCCCTTTTTTTGCTTTTGACGCAGGCTCTTGCTATGTAATAGGCTGCCTTGAACTCGCTGTGTCCCCGGGCTGGGGCTGGCCTACTGTGGCGACCCTCCTACCTCAGCCTCCCGGCTCCCAGTCCCCGCCCTCCCCGGCCACCTTCTCCTTTCCCCCCAACTCCTCCCTGGGTGTCCCCGCCGAGAATCGGCGTCCCAAGCCCGGTGGGGTGGGCCGGGGCGGGCATGGGTCCGGGTGTGCCGAGTGCCACAGTGCCCGCCCGTGTCCCGCAGGTGCCCAAGCCCGGAGCCGGAGCCGAGGCGCCCCACGCCTGGGGCCTGGAGCTGCAGGCCTGCCTGCCGCCCCACTACAACGTGCAGGGGCTGTGCGGGCTGCTGTCCGAGGGCGCGCTGCCCGGGGCGCCCTGGCCGGGCCGCGTGCTGCTGGCCGCCGAGGTGCCCGAGCGCACGGTGGCCCAGTGGCTGGCGGAGCTGCGGGAGCGGCGGCCGGAGGAGCTCGCGTGGGCCGCGGCCATCACGCTGCTGCAGCTGAGCGCGGCCCTGGAGCTCCTGGAGGCGCGGGGGGCCGCCGTGAGCGAGCTGCGCCCCGAAAACCTGCTGCTGGCGACGCCGCGGGGCTGCGCGGCCGCCGGGCCCCCGCGCCTGCTGCTGGCTGACTTCGGCCGGGTCCGCCCGAGCCCCGCGGGCCTCCCGGGCGCCCACGCGCCGCAGCTGGGCCGCCTGCTCCTCGCCCTGCTGGGCCCCGACCGGGCCCCGGCCTCGGCCCTGGCCGCCGGCCTGCGGCGCCTGGCGGCCCGCCTCCCGCGCGCACGGCCCCCCGCGGCCGGGACTCGGGGCGCGCTGCAGGCGCTGCTCTGGGGCCCCGGGCCGGGGCTGCGCGCCCGCGGGGCTGCGCTGGGCACCTGGCTGCGCGTGCGGCGCGCGCTGCTGCTCGTGCAGCTGGCGGAGCGGGCGGCGGGCGGCGCGGCGCCGGGCCTGGAGGAGTGGCTGTGCTGCGGGTACCTGGCCTCGGCCACCGAGGCCTCGCTGGCCCAGGCCCTCGAACTGCTGTGGGCCGACCCCGAGTGACCGCTGGCCGGGGCGGGGTGGCATCTCCGGACTCTGGACACCCGCGTCCTTCAAAGCCCGGCCCTCCCCAAGAGCTGCGCCCCTTGGGGTGCTGGGCCCAGTCGCCGTCTCCGCGAAGTGGACACTGGCGTCAAGGGGGACATGTGGGTGTAAAGGATGACCGCTGGCCTCTTGCCAACTACGGCCTGCTGAATGGGGCAGGGAAGCACGTGGCTGTCACCTGAGCACTCGGAGGCTGAGGCAGGGCCATCTCAAGTTCAAGCCCAGGCTGGACAACCGTCCCCAAGCGATGAAAGGCCTGGGGAGGCCACTCGGGGAAGCCCTGCCACCAGCAGCACTGGAAACCACAATCACAGGTGGTGGCCTCCCAGCACCCCCCACTCTGCAGGGGTCCCCCAGCCCAGTCTCCCTCTAGCAAGTCAGGGCCCAGGCCCGTTGCACACGCAGCACCCCTGGGGTGCCTACCCTGCCACCCTCCAGCGCCTCCACCAAGCAGCATTGCTCACTGCTAGGGTGCAGGACCTAGACTCAGAGGTGGTGGGCCCCAAGTTACCAGTGGCACCCTTCCTGTTCCCACAGCAATCCCCACACTGGACCAGGCCCGCTCCTGCCAACGCCCCACACCCTCCTGCCTGGAGTTCACCCTCAACCCACGCTGCAAGGGGTCCCGGCCAATGAGCTGGGTCAGCCCAGGGCAGGACACAGATGTGGCCAGCAGGTGGCGCTACGGCCCTATGGGACCAAGAGCCAGGCTGGTGCCTGTGTCTCTCCAGTAGACTGGACTGGCACTGCTGTCCCCTGCCCAGTACTTCCGGGTCTGCTAGCAGCCTCCAAAGGCAAGGCACCTGAGGGCCACACACAGGGCAGGCCACAAAGTGTCCTCAATGTCCATGGTGCAGCAGAGTGCGCCAGGCCGAGATCCTAGCCCGGGTGCCCACAGCATAGGGACCCTGCCTTACCTTCCTGGCTGGGGGCCACCCCTGCTGGTTCCACCCATGGTCCCCATCCCAGCAACACCAGAGTCCACACAGGGCACGGAGGTGTCACCACGTTTATTCAGATTTTTGGGAGCAGAGAACAGTGGATTCACGCCTAACTTTCCAAGGCGACAGACCCAAGACCTCGGCCACCGAGGGCTCCTCCAGGACAAGGGTCCGAGTCATCTTCAACCAGCAATAAAAAAGTAAAATATAAATTTTTATTTAGAATTAAAGCAAATACTTCAGTATCACAAACACAACATTAAACTTCAAGAAATATACCGCTAATTTGAAGTGAGCGTTTATTTGCACAATTACGACATGCGGACAAACCCAGGGGGAGGGCAGGCCATCCCCAGGGCGCCACTGCGAGGCCACTAGGCGCCCGCTGGCCGCTACTCCTCCTCGCCGGCGGACTCCCTCTCAAACGTGTAGGCCATGAAGCAAGCGTCGGGTCTCTTGGGGACAAGGGGGTGCCCTGGTCTCACAATCTCAAAGCCCAAAAAGCTGAAGGTCCGGAGCAAGGCAGCTGCAAGGGACACAGCACCCGTCAGGACCCGCAGGCACCCAGAGGGGTCCCCAGGGTGGCAGCAGGGCAGTCACCCACCTCTGTCCTCCCGGTTCTTATGGAAGCAAATGAAGACGTGGTCGGCGTGGAGCTGCTCCTCTGCGAACTCGAGGAGAACTGCAAAGCTGAGGCAGGGGGGTGTCAGCCTTGCCCAGGTCACCCTCTGCAGGTGCCAGGGCCGCGCCCACCTCCCCGGGGCTCACCTGTCTTTGCTGCCCTCGGGCAGGGGGCCGCCCGGGATCTCGATATAGAGGCTGCCGCCGCTCCACACAGCTCTCCAGGTGATGTGCTTGGCATCCGTGAGCCTGGACTGGACATTTAGAATCCGTGTCTTGTTGTTGGATGTTAGTTCCTCGGTTACATTCAGCCGGTTATCCTGCCACAGTCGGGTGTGCTGGCTCAGAGACCTGGCCTTGGAGCCAGCTGGGCCCTTGGTGCCCCCAGCCACCACCTGCCCGGTCTGGTACTCACAGAGTAGAAGGAGTCAGCTGAAAGACTGTGATCCCGCTGACCATTCCCTCGCCCACCTGGGATCCTCAGGGGTGGGTGAGGGGCATCAGGAGCACCACCGAGGCCCCGGACCCGGGTTACTACAGCAGCTGGCAGGGGCCCTGGAACTGGAGCAGAGGCTGGTTAGGGCCAGGCCCAGGGGGCACACCTGTCACCCTGGCACACTGGGAGGCTGAGGCAGGAGAATCTCCATGCGCTCAAGGGTAGCCTGGGCTACCTGCCACAGCAGTCGGCCTGTGCACTGCCCTGGTACCTGCGGGTAGCTCGGGTGCACACACCTTCCTCCAGCGGGTGAGGCCCAAACCAGCCATCCTTCCCCCTGGGGTCACTGGGCCGGCAGGCTTCTGCCTGGTCCCAGCCTCCAACGCACCCCACTGCCTCGTTTCTAACCCCAACACCCCAAGGCTGCGGCCTTTCAGCTGCAAGCAGAGGCCGAAAGCCCAGCACTTCCCTGGGAAGCCGCCCCTGTCCCCGCGTGTGACCGCAGACCGCTCGCCAGCAGACACGCGCAGTGGGGCTGTTTGGCTCTCGACCCGAGGACACGCGGCCCGGCCCCTCCCGAGCCCCGCCTGGCCCCTCGGTTGCGTCATCGCGCAGACGCCCGGGCCCCGGGGGAGATTTTCACAATCGCCAGCTGACAGCGCCAGCAGCCATTTGCTGCGCAGTGTAAACAGCCCCGAAGTCGCCTCCATCTTGCTAGCTCCAGCGTGAGGTCCCCAAACCGCAGCCCCAGCACGGAGTCGCCAAGGGGGCCCGGGCATGCCCACCTGCGGGGCCGGCGTCGGCTCGATCAGGACCCCGGGATTTCCAACACCAGCACAGCGGGCACAGAGCGCCTAACACACGCCGTCGCCGTCCCCGCGGGGGAGGCCCGGGGCGCCACGCACTCAACACGGGGCCCACGACCACCGCCGAGGGGGCCGCCGCGAAGCGTAAACAGCCCCGCAGCCGGCGCTCCTCACACCCGCCCGAAAGTGCCGATTCACTGAACTGTGCACGACGCCCCGGGCCAGCCCGTCCCCCCACCTTGACCCCGCCCCCAAGTCCGAATCGCCTTTCCGCCGCCCAAACTGCAACTCAGCCCTGCACCCCGCACCTCCCAAACCTGAGCCCCAGGCACCTGCCTCCGTCCCCCGGGCACCCTCATACCCGAAGCCCTCTTCTAAATAAATTAGAGTCCGCAAACCGACACCGCCGACTCCGTGCGCTTCCAAGTGCGCCCCGACCCTCCCCCAAACGAGGCTCCCCAGCGCATCCTGGGTCTCCTGTCTTCGGTATCCGACCGTGGGTCCTTCCCACACCCTGCTCCCCATCCTACGACTTTCCCTCTTCACGCCCAGACCCCACCTCAGAGCACTGTCTGACCGTAACTCTGACCCTCCCGGCCCCACCGCCCTGCCAGCCGCCGCCCGGGGACCCCCGGGACCGGCCCCGCCCCCACCCGGGCAGAACCCGCCCCACCCGGCTCGATTGTGGCCTCGACAAAGGGGCGGGCCGCGCGCTCCGGACCCCGATCTGGAGCCCAAACCAAAACCCCCACGGTGGCTGGGGCGGCCGGGGTTTCTGGAAGCTTCGGGCGGGGGCGGGGCGCTCACCTCTCACTGCTGCGGCCGCCGCGGCTGTGCAGACTAAGAAGCGGCATGGTGTGGCTGGCGTGAATGGTGGCACTAGGTTTATCCCCTTCTTTCTCTCTGGCGAAGCAGTGGCTGTTGAGGATCCGCTGCAGGGAGGATTTCACCATCCGGCCGCTGGGGTCCGAAACCAGGAAAACCTCCGCTGCGCCTCTCCGCGCCGCCGCCGCTGCTCGCCGTTCGCAAAATGGCGCCGCCGCCGCCGCCCACTTTTATAGACGCCGCGCCTAGGCCACGCCCCCACGCCGCGGCGAACGCCGCCGCACGAGGGGGCGGAGCCGCAGAGGCCGTCGGGAGAACTAAATTCTCCCGCCCCTTCTGGCGTCTGATTGGTCAAAAACGAGGGGTCAAGGCAAATCTCTCCTTTTGATTGGTGTATGTGCTCTTGGTCCCGCCTTCTCCTGCTCGCGTCACCTGTGGGCCCGTGGCGTACCCTGCATCTGTCGTGCCGGAAACGCGCTGTGTGCGCCCCGCCCCCCAGCCTGGATTTGGGGTGGGGGTGTCGCACCCCAGCTGGTTTACTGGGTTCTTGTTGTTAGGGATGTTTCTTTCGCTATCGCTGTCGCTCTCTATAAAGGTCCCGTTAGTCAATGGGACCCCTTCTTCCCTAAGATCCTCCTAGCGAAAAGCTGATGGGGGAAGACAGTCCCAAAGCGCCCACTCCCCCATAGAACAAAATTATTTTCAGCGCTGACTTCGTAATAATCAATAATTATTGTATTCTTGACTTGGTCTTTTCGTGGGAAAACTTTCAGTGATAAAGATACTCTCATCTATTAAGATGTTGCTTGTAAAATTTGAACCCAGTGAAAATTTTACTTTTTGCAAATTTTGCATGTATGTGAGGACCATAGTTTGCTCCAAGGAAAATTTAAAATTCACAAAAATTTTCTGCTAGATGTGGCTGCACTTTCTGTAACCCAGCACTCTGGGAGGCTGAGGCAGGAGAATCTCAAATCGGAGCCCAGCTTATCTCTAAATAAAAAGGACTGAGGATGTAGCTCAGTGTGAAAACCCTGGGTTCAATCTCCATTTAAAAATAAAAATTCCAGCCGGATGTGGTGGCTCACACTGTAATCCCAGCACTCAGGAGACTGAGGCAGGAGGATTGTTGTGAGTCTGAGACCAGCCTGGGCTACAGAGTGAGCTCAAGTTAGCCTGGACTGCATAGACACCCTGTCTCAAAAAGACAAAATAAATAAAAATTCCTCTTGCAGCTAGACCCAATTAAGTATTTCTTGTATGAGCTATGATTCAGATTTAAGTAAAAAAACAAATGTTAAATTTTGAGCTGGGTGGGGCTGGGGATTTAGCTCAGCGGCATAAGCACCTGCCTTGCAAGCAGGCAGTCGTGAGTTCAATCCCTGGTACCGATACAAAAAAGGAAAAAGACCAAAAAAAAATTTTTGAGCTGGGAATGGTGGCACAAGCCTGTAATCTCAACACTCTGGGAGGCTGAGGCAGGAAGACCACTGTGAGGTTGAGGCCAGCCTGAACTAAAACTTGAAACCCTATCTCAAAAAAGACCAAAGACTGGGGTTATAGCTTAACCATGAAGCACCTGCCTGGCCAGTGCAAGGTCCTGAGTTCAAATTCTGATACAAAAGAAAAAAAAGATCAGGGGCTGGGGATGTGAATGTCATGAGTTCCATCTCCAATACCAAAAAAAAACACCAAAGATTTTTTACTTCGTGGTTAAATTCAGAAACATATTTGAGATATGAACTGCAGTATGCATTCAGTGAGTAAAGATAGAACTTGCAGTTAAATACAGGAGCATATTTTGTATGTAGATCAAAATTTGAATTAACCAGGCAAAAACATTGCATCTCTGAGTTAAACTGAGTTCATATTTTATGTATGAACTAAAGTCTGCTCTTTCCAGGGAAAGACTCAGCATCTGCAGGTTCCTCTGCATCTCGGGGGCAGAACTTTCAGCACTGAGCTGCTCCCCAGCCCGCTTCGGAGCTTTACTGTCTTTTTTCTTGAGGTACCAGGAATTGAACTCATGACCTCATGCTTGCTGGCCGGGGCTGTGCCACTGAGCTGTCCCAGGCCCCTTGACTGTTTTTTGTTTCTTGTGAGGACACACTGGTTTCTGGCCTCTGGCTAGCTGCCCAGGGCAAGCAGCTGGGCCATTCTGGGCGGGGCGTGTGCAATTGGGCCCCAGCCAGCAGCAGGTCCTGGCACTGGTACCGGGGCACAGTGCGGTTTGGCTCCCGTGACCCAGACCGGAAAGGGACTGTAGTCACGAGTGACCCCGCCCGGAGGAAGTGAACCTACCTAGCTTCCCAGTGCTCAGCCAGGCTGCGGAATTGCCATCTGGGAACCTGCCAGAGCCTCTGCGGGTCCCAGGAGACCCCGGAAGCCTCCAGAGAGACACCGGGTGGGGAAGCTTTCTTTCTTCCTTGGCAGCCTTATATCTTCACTGGCCAAAACAGGCTTCTATCTGTGGGTAGAAGGAAACCAGTGACCTGGTGAAAACGAGCCAAGCCTGAGGAGCAGAGCTGGGTGGCCAGCACTTGTGTGACACGCGTGAGGTCCTGGTTTCCACCCAGGTGTGGGCGCGCACACCTGTCACTGCAGCACTTGGGAGGCTGAGGCAGGAGGAACTCAGCTTGCTCCAAGCCGGCCTGGGCTCCATGGTGAGTTCGAGGCCAGCCTGAAGTACATAGTGAGACCTTGTCCCGAAAATCCAAAACAAAAAAATGACAGAGTGGTCTGCAGGATGGTGGGGGCTGCAGCTAGCATTAGGGATCCCCGAGCAGGCACAGGAGGAAAAAAGGAGAGTCCCAGAGAAGCAGAAGACCCAGTGGCACCAGCTTTGTAGGTGGAGGGAGGGGCCACAAGCCGAGGGCTGCAGGCACCTCTCAGAGCTGGGATGGAGACCCCGGTTCTCCCAGAAACCTTGGCAGGGACAGACCAGTTGTCCAGCCTGGAAACAGCCCAGGAGGCTGTGCTGAGCTCAGATCCCAGGGCTGATAGAGAAGAACACAGTGCAGAATCTCCCGGACGCTGACACTTGGCATCATGGTGGCCGAGGCCACTGGACAGAACTCACCCCAGGCTTGTAGCCCTCATGCTGCCTAAGTTTTATCTAAAAACTAGAGCCACCAGTGTGCACTGCTGTCCAGTCAATGGGGCACACACTGAGGTGTTTTGGAGACAGAGACTGATTCCTGCAATTGAAGGAGAAAAAGTAGACCTGGCGTGGTGGCATGGACTCTGGGAGGCTGAGGCAGGAGGGTTGCAAATGCAAGCTCGCCCAGGCTTAGTACCTTAGCAAGAACTCATCTCAAGTCCAGGATATACACAGCTCAGTAGTACAGCACCTACCTGGCCTGGCAAGTGTGAGGTCATGGATTTGATTCCCGGTACCAAAAAAGAGTAAAAGGTAAAAAATGAAAAGGCGGGGCTGGGGATTTAGCTCAGCGGCATAAGCGCCTGCCTTGAAAGCAGGCAGTCGTGAGTTCGATCCCTGGTACCGATAAAAATGAAAAAGACCAAAAAACAAAAAATGAAAAGGCATAAATGGATTTTGCTATTCTTTGTTATGTTTTTTTTTTTTTTTTTTTTTTTTTTTTTTTGTCTTTTTCGTTTCTAAGAGTACCAGGGATTGAACTCAAGACCTCACACTTATAAGGCAGGTGCTTATCCCACTGAGCTAAATCCTCAGCCCCCTTGTTATTTTTTGAGACAGGGTCTCACTGTGTAGCCCACGATGGCTTCCAACTCACTTCAATCCTCCTGCCTCAGCCTCCTGGGTGTTAGGATTACAGGTTCAACGCCAACTACACAAAGCTCCCCAGCCTGGTTTTTTCCCTTTGGTAGTGGGACTCAAACTCAGGCCCTTGCCAGGCAGGCACTTGTGCCGCTGAGCTATATCCACAGTCCACCCCCAGCTATTTCTATCTTTTAATCTGAGACAAAAATCTCACTAGATTGCCTCGGCTAGGCTGGAACTTCTTTTTTTAAATTTTTTTTTATTGGTACCAGGGATCGAACTCATGACCGCCTGATCAAACTCACAACAGCCTGCTTGCAAAGCAGGTGCTTATGCTGCTGAGCTAAATCCCCAGCCCCTAGGCTGGAACTTTTAATCTGACCCTCCTGCCTCAGCCTCCTGTGGTTCTGGGATGGTAGCCCTGCGCCACTGGGGCCAGTTTGAGCATAATTTTTGAAGCCTGGCTTCCTCCTCTCTACATAAAAAACGGAGAATGCCTGTGGACGTATTTTTGTAAACAGCACAAAGAAGAAGGAAATGAACACCAACTCTGTTGAAAGCGCACCCAGCTGGGAGTGGGGGGTGCACGCCTGTCATGGCAGCGCTTGGGAGGCTGAGGCAGGAGGACCGCCACAAGTTCCAGACCAGCCTGGGCTACATAGTGAGACCCCGTCTCAAAAAATAGATAATTAGGGGCTGGGGATTTAGCTCAGTGGCATAAGCGCCTGCCTTGCAAGTGTGCGGTCGTGAGTTCGGTCCCTGGTACCGATAAAAACGAAAGACAAAAAAAAAAAAAAAAAAGATAAACTGCACCCAGGAGCTGTGGCAGGAACGGGGTGTGGAGAGGACAGCGCTGGAATGCGGGCTCCAGGCCCCACCCAGGTCTGCTGCCCGGAGATAAAGGCCAGGCCCAGCCCCTCCCCCAGCCGTGGCTGGCTGTGAAAACACCCTGAAGAAAGATCAGGAATCTGGCCTCAAGGCCGAACTGGCTTTTCTCAGAAGAGAGGTATTTGCTTTGGGTCTCTTTGTGGGGCCAGGCTTGGGGTTTGGACCCCAGGGCCTTGGTGTTACACAGTCGCTATGGAGAGATTTCACTGCAGAGAACAGATGCCGGACGACGTGGTGGCACACGCCTGTCATCCCAGCACTCCAGAGACTGAGGCAGCAGGATTGCCAGGAGTTCGAGTCCAGCCTGGGCTACGAAGTGAACTTGCATCTCTAGCAAGAGCTTGTCTCCAAAAACAAAAAAGGGTCTTCACGTCTGATGTCCCCATGCTCCCTGGGCTTGCTGCCTTCCCACGCTCCTGTCACAGTGTCCCCAAGTTTCCTGTTTTCAGCCCAACCGTGGCCTTGAGCTCCATCCCCAGCCTTTCCAGGTTTTGAGACAGGGTCTCCTAAATTGTCCCGGCTACGCCCCAACGTGCAGTCCTCAGGCCTCGGCCTCCCACAGTGTGGTGCCGGGATGACAGGCGTGCACCTCTCTGCCTGGCCTTTTTCTTTCTGTTTGCAGTGCTGCAGTGATCTGTCCCTAAGGTCTCATTGTGTAGCCCAGGCTGGCCTTCAAGCATGACAGTCCTCCTGCCTCAACCTCCAAATGCTGGGAACATAGGTGTGTGGCACCGTGCCCACCTCATTTTTTTAAGAGAAAAATATTGACTGCTGGTGAAGACGCACAGACCTCAGAATGCTCTCCCCCGGGGAGGAATGTAACGTCATGTGGCCACTGGTGAGAGGCCAACCCCTCAAAACTTGAGCACAGAATCACCAGACGGCCTGGCAGTCTGCTCACAGGTAAATCCCAGAAGGACTGAGGGCAGGGCCTCAAACACAGCATGCACACCCGTGTTCACAGCAGCCAAACCGCAGAAAGAACTCTGGTCCATCAAACCAAGCAGGAATATGCAAAGGGTGCTTCCATCCCATGCTGGAATATCATACAGCCAGGAAAAGGAGTCAAGCGGTCACTGCAAATTGAAACTACAGTCTGCTTGCATCAAAGCAGAATGGCTTACATAGAGAGTACAAAGAAAATAAGACAGCCAGGCATGGGGGTGCATACCTGTAATCCTAGCCCTTGAGTGGCTGAGGCAGAAGGACTTCGGCAAGTCTGAGGACACCCTATGCTACGTCATGAGACCATGTCTCCGAAAAAAAAAAAAAATGTCTGGGGGATCTGATCATGTTATTCAGGCTGGTCTTGAACTTACGGGGATCCTCCTGCCTCAGCCTCCCAAGTGCTGGGATGACAGGTGTGCGCCACCACAGCCCGAGGGCTTGAAGCATGCTGTGCGCATATGCAGATCTGCTAAACTGAAACCCATTAATTGATAGAGTTATTTCCAAAAGATGAAAAATATTAACAAAAGATGAGAAATAGGATAAAATAAAAAGCGGCCTTTATTCTGAGAACACGGAGAGAGATGACCGGCAACCCCACCGCTGGCGTCCGGCGATCTCTCCGGCGGACACGCGGCATGGGGGCCTGTAAATAGCCTCGGTTTGGGGTGGAACCTAAGGCGGGCATTAGGGATGCACAGGTAGCCCATTGGTCCTAGGTTTGGCGCCATATGTAAATTCCCAGGGGCGGGAAGATGGCGTCACAGGTAACTTCCTAGGGGCAGGGCAAGATGGGGCTTCCTGCTTCCGGTTGTGGCTTTCCTGGCTACAGTGTCCTGTCTGGGCCAAAACCTTTCATTAATCTGTATGAGGAATTTTTTTTTGTCTTTTTCTTCTTTATAGGTACCGGGGATTGAACTCACAATTGCCTGCTTGCAAGGCAGGCGCTTATGCCGCTGAGCTAAATCCCCGGCCCCTGTATGAGGAATTTCAAAAGGGAAAACACTAAAAGAAATGGGACCCGTGATGTTTGCCACAGTGTGGACGGACCTTGAAGATGTCATGTTCAGTGAGAGCCACAGAGGACACACTGTGGGTTCCTTGGACAGGAAATGCCCAAGACAGGCGACACCAGAGACAGGAAGTGGCCTCGGGGGTGCTGGGGTAGAGGAGGGGACGAGAGTCAGTGTTTCCTGGGGCAGAGACAGTTTGGGGGCACTGAAAGTTCTGGAGGCATGGTGCCAGCCTCAAAGCCACAGGAATCAGCGAATGCCACCAAACCATGCACTCAAATGCGGTCATTTTATGTCATGTATACTGTACCACACTAAAGAATCTACCAAGCTGGGCACGATGGCACATACCTCTAACCTCAGCATTCTAGGAGGCTGAGGCAGGAGGGTCCAAGTTAGAGGCCAGTCCGGCCTGCGTAATGAGGGCATCATTTAAAAAAAGAGAGACAGGGGCTGGGGATTTAGTTCAGCGGCATAAGCACCTGCCTTGCAAGCAGGCAGTCATGAGTTCGATCCCGGGTACCAATAAAAAGAAAGAGGACAAAAAAAGAGAGAGAGAGAGAGAGACAGAGAGAAACCCAAATAAATAGGCAAAAAGGCAGCCAGGTGACAGCACACGCCAGCACTCAGGAGGCTGAGGCAGGGGGATTCCAAGTTGCAACCCAGTCTCAGTAACTCAGCAAATCACTGACTTAAGGAGATCTTGTTTCAAAATGAAAACTGACAGAGACTGGGCTCGGAGCTCAGGGTGAAGGCCCGGATTCCCGCCATGACCCTTACTGGCCCCACTAATGTTCTGCTGATTGAATCCCAGACCGAGGGCAGGGCCAGCTGCCGGCTGGGCTCTGGGTTTGTCTGGCTCAGGCTCCGCACTGGGTCACCGCTGTGGTGGGGCGGGGGTGGGGAAGCGCCCTCCTGCGTGCCCCGCCCCCGCCCCACTGGCCGCCCCTGATTGGCCCCCAGCTGTCCCCAGCCACCTGGCCCTGTCTGTCCCGGTTGCCCTCCCTCGCCCCATCCTGTCCAAAGCCGCACAGAGCCTGTGGGGTAAGAGGGGTTGGGGGAGGCCTGGGTGGAGTACGGACCCCTGCATTCTGGGAGGGCATCTCTGGAGTCCACGAGGGTCCCCAACTCCTGTAGCAGCCACCACCACACACCCGGACCCCCTCCCTTGCTCCTGCCTCCATGTGGGCCCAGCTCCTCCAAGTTCCAGGAACGACGATGGTACGGTGATAGTGACACCGACTGGCAGCCGGGGGCCCTGGAGACCCCCGGAGAGCAAAGCCTTGCATCTGGCTTCCAGCTCAGCCCGTCTCCTGGGACCCCCCCAGGTCCCCCTCAGGTTCCCTTCTGCCACGTACAAGGGGACGAAATTCGGGATCAGCAGATTCCTGGGACCTCCTAGCCTGTCCGCAGCTGTCACCCAGACCAGGCTGGTGCTGGCTGCTGGGGCCTTGGCCCCCTAGGTCCCCAGAGTGTGGCTTTTTTGGTGTTGTTTGGGTCCCCACAGCCCCCACCCAGGCCTGGGGTTGAACCCAGGGCCTCTACGCCAAGCACCCCACCCTCACCCTTTTTTATTTATTTGGAAACGGTTACCCAGTCTGATCTCAAACTGTGCACTTGCCTGCCTCAGCCTTCCGAGTGCTGGGACGACAGGCAGGTGGCAGGCGTGGCGCTGGGTGTTGAGTGCCGGGAACTGTGGGTGAGTTTGGGTGGAAGAGACCCCAAAGAAGGGGCAGCCTGGGAGGACTGTCTGCCCTGGCCTGCTGGCCTTGGACATCAGATAAAAATAGTGCCTGGTCTCAGGCAACATGAGCTGGCCTGGGCCTGGGTTCTGGTTTGGGCTGTATCTTCAGACTCACTGCTGTGTGGCTTTGGGTGGCTCCCAGTGCCTCTCTGACCTCCAACAGCCCTGAGTGCTGTGCTCAGCAGTGTCGCGGGGGGGGGGGGACCCCCGGAGCGGCGAGGCCACCGCGGAGGACAGCCCAAGGGCAGGCGTGGGGGCACCAGGAACGGCGCCCGGGGCGTACCTTGTAGAAGCCTCACTTTGCAGCAGCCATGAGGCACCTGCCTTTCATTCTGGAAGGCTGAGGCAGGGGGATCTCAGCCTGGGCAGTTTAGCAAGACCTCGCCTCCAAAGAAAATCAATAAAAAGTGCCTGGGAGGGAACTGCACTGTAAAGGGCAGGTCCATTCCGCCACCGGAGTGGAGGGAGGGGCACTCATTTGTCCAGGGACCTGAGGCCACCGCAAGGCTCTAGGAAGGCAGCGTCCTCTCCCATCTCTCCCAGCCCCACTGCAGCGGGAGGGACCTGGCTCCCGTCTCCATGACAGCGAGGGCCTTGGAGGAGTTGGACCGTGGCCTGGGCAGCTGCCTCGCCAACGAGTGCTCTGAGCTGGCGGGGACCGGCACAGGGCAGGTGAAGGAGGACGAGGCCCGAGGTACTCTGTCGCCCCTGCAGTTTGCTCTGTCACCTGTAATTTGGCCCTTCTCCGCCCTGGCCCAGCCTAGCAAGGCGTGGTTGGGGTAGGATAAACTTGGGCGGTGGGCGCCCAACACTGACTGCCTCTGTTCCCACCCACAGAGGCACCCAGGCTGGCTGAGACCAGCAGCTGGCCCCAGGTGAGTAGCTGGGGACCTCAGAGTTGGGGACATACTGGCCAAGGAGGGGACCTCGTCTCTTAGAACACTAAAAGAAATACCACCCCGAACTGGGTACGCTGCCCCATGCCTGTCATCCTCTCCTTCTGGGAGGCTGAGGCAGGAGGATCTCAAGTGGAAGCCTAGGTGGGTCACAAAGCAAAACCCTGTCTCCAAAAAAAAAAAAAAATAAAAAGGGGCTGGGGTTGTAGCTCAGGGCGAAGGCCCTGGGTTCCATCCCCAGTGCCGGAAAGGACAAAAAAGCAAGGAAAAGGCCAAACGGAGAGACAAGGCGAGGACTCTGCTTCCCGCGCAGGGCCCTCACGAGGACGCCAGACCCAAAAAGATGGAGAAGGAGCCCGCGGCCAGGGGGACCCTCGGCCCCGGAAAGGAGAAGCAGAAACCTGGAGCCAGTGCGTCTGCAGCAGGCTTGGGTGAAGGGGCGCAGGCAGGGGGTGGGGACTCCCGCTCCTCCGCGTGGCTCCGGGCGATGGGCTCCCCTCCCCGCCCCACCCCCTCCTGACCTCGTTCTCGACCCCTGCAGCCCCCCGCAGCGCCCCGGCCCGCAAGAAGCCTCAAGCCGCGCCCCCCGCGCAGCCGCCCCCGCCGCCCCCGGCCCCCAGCGAGGAGCTGCCCTGGGGCGACCTGACGGTCAACAAATGCCTGGTGCTGGCCTCGTTGGTGGCGCTGCTGGGCTCGGCGGTGCAGCTGTGCCGCGGTGAGCCCGGTTCCCCGACGCGGGGGTGGGGGTGGGGCTGGGGTCGGCCGAGCGCCCCGCCCCCGGGAAGGGGCGGGGCCAGCGCGGGGCGGTGGCTGTGGTGTCCCGTTTGGAGTGGGTCTTTTTTTTCTGGCTTCTTTGCGGTGCTGGGGATGGAACCCTGACCCTCTGTGCTGAGCTCCACGCCCAGGCCTTTGCATTGAAAAAAAAATTGTTTTGAGACACGGTCTCGCTAAATCGCGTACATAGCTCGGGTTGGGCTGGAATTTACAACCCTTCTGCCTCAGCCTCCCATATTCTTGGCTTAAAGGATGAGTTTTGGGCTCGCGCGCCTTGGCCAGGCTTGCGACCCTGTGCCTCCCTGGAGCCAGCCGTGTACTCTGTCCCTCACCTCAGCGCACCTGGCCAAGGGGGAGGGGTCCTCACTTTCCCTTCCTGAAAGTGACAGTGACGCGTGCTCCCAGTCCTTACCCCGAGCTCCCTCTGGTGGATGCGCTTCGCCTGTGTCCCCGCCCGAGAGGGGCCCGGCGCGGGGCGTTTCCCCTTCCTGCTGGAGCTTGTGCGCCCCGCTGCGCCGCACCAGCCTAGGGACAGGCCCCCTCAGGTTCCTTGTGTGCGCTTTAGGGGATCCCCCCCCACCTCGGCTCGGTGCCTGCTGCTGCCAGGAGATGGGCCCTAAGGGGGAAAAAAGAATGACCACTCCTTTAAAAAGGGGGAATCAAAAAAATTAAAATAAAAAATAGAAAGGGGAAGTCGCACCAGACATGGTGGCGCAGGCCCGTCATCCCAGCACTCGGCAGGCTGAGGCAGGAGGATCGCTGTGAGTTCCAGGGCGGCCTGGGCTACATAGTTTAAGGTCTACCTGAACTACACAGCGAGACCCTGTCTCAAAACAAGCAAATATATACAAACAAGTGAATAACAAATAAAAGGGGAGGTCGCGAGAGAAAGGATGACCCGCGTCGCGGTGGAGACCCAGAGGCTCGAAAGAAGCCAGAGCAGCCTCTTGGTACCCGCGGGGTCGCGTGGCCCAGGTGCTGGGGGGAGAAGCAGGGGTGCACGGTGTGTCCGGCGCGGTGTCCCAGGGTGATCCATCCGCCTTCCCACCCTCCCTCTCAGATGCTGTGGCTGGGCAGGAGGCCGCCCCTGTGCCTTGGGTACCACCGACCGCACCCCCCAAGCACCCGGTGCCGCCGGTGGTAAGCGCTGCCTCCCAGTGACCTCGGGTGGGGGAGGCCGGGTCGGCGGGAGAGGCGGGCTCGGGGGCCGAGGACGCCACACTGTCCGCCTTGCAGCCTAAACTCACGGCCCCATCGAAGCCACCCGCGCCCCAAGTGGGGCCACCTGCACCTCAGGTGGAGGCAGGGGACAAGCCCGAGGTTCCCGGGAGCAGGGAGACCGCAGAGAAGGTGCAGAGAGATCCCGGGGAGGCCGCCAACCGGGGAGAGCGCGCGACCCGCGCCGAGCAAGGGCCCAGGGAGAAGTCGAGGAAGGAGGAGAAGCCGCGGAGGGAGCGGCCGCGCAGAGCCGAGAAGCCGTGGAAGGAGAAGCCGCGGAAGGAACACAGGCCGCGGAAGGAGAGGCCCCGCGCTGCCGGGGAGCCCCGAGAAGCTCTGCCCCGACGCTGGGGGACGCCAGAAGGGGGCCACCGGCTGTGGGCGCGGGACACCGGGGACCCAGAGCACCGGAAGAGGCAGGCCTGGGCCTCCCCGCGGCGCCCCGAAGCGGACCGGCCCCCGGGGAGGCAGCAGCACCGCCAGGGCAAAGGGCGGGACTGAGCGGGACTGGGTGCTGCGGCCGAATCCGAATCCCGCCGCCACTCTCAGGGTGGCCCCGCGATTCCAGCAAAATAAAGGGAGTGTTGTGGCCGCCCCGTCGCCCCCTCCTTTGTGCCTCAGCCCGGGCCCGACGGATGGGCGGAGAGGCGCCCGCGGGGGTGACGCAGGCCCGGCGCGCACGAAGAAAGGCACCCACGCAGCCCCCCAGCTGGGTGCGCCCAGGCTTTATTGGGACACTGCCGGGGTCTGAATAAATATAGGACGGGCTCCGCAGCCGCGGCGGCGGGGTCACCGGCAGCCGCACTCGGTGGCCACCATGTTGGGCACGTGGTGCGCGCTGATGCGGTCCTCAGCCAGGCTGATCAGGAGTTTGCCCGCGTAGGCCGTGGGCACGCAGCAGGGCGCGCGCGCCAGGATGGCCCCGCGCGCCTGCATCTTCAGCAGCAGCACCACGTGGTTGCCGTAGTGCGGGCTGCGGTCGGACTGCGGCCAGCCGCAGGCGCCCTGGCAGTTGTTGGCCTGGTAGGTCTCCGGGATGAGCACGGAGCGCTCGGCGCGCAGGTCCACGCTTAGCTCGCGCAGCGCGCACGGCCCCTCCGCGGAGGCGCTGCGCTGTGCCCGGGCCGCCCCGCGCGTGTCCCGCCCGCGCCACTCCCTGCGTAGGCTCTGCAGCGCCTTGAGCAGCAGCAGGGCGCGCAGCGGGTCTGCAGGGGGACTGCCGGGGTCGCTGGGGTCACCCGGGCACAGCGCGAGCAGGCGCGTGAGCAGCGGGGGTGCAGCGGGCGGTAGCCCCGGGAGGCCGCGCAACTCCGCGGCCGCGGCTTGCAGCTCCACGGCCACGCGGTGCGCCAAACCTGCGGCCCAGGGCACCGACGAAGGACCCCGCAGTGGTGCCGGCTGCCCGGCACTGGCCGCAGCGGGCGGCGTCAGTAGTAGGAAAGGCTCGTCCACCTCTAGTAGACGCTCCAGGGCTGCAGGGTCAGACAGGTTGACCAGGCCCTGCGGGAAACTGGCCAGCGCGCCCGTGTCCAGAGCCAGGCGCATTGGAGAGGCCCGGGCTGGGGAGCCCCGCAGCGCGCGCACCAGGCGCGTGAGAGTCTGCAGAAAGGGGTCTGCGCTGGGCAGCAGCTCCACGGTATCCAGAGAAGGCCTGGAGTCCACAGTGGGAGCCAGGGGTCATGAAGGCGTTGGGTTGCGCTGCCTCCACCCACCCCACCATCCACCCCCCTAACTTCATCCGCTGCTCTGAGCCCGCGCGCACCTGGGTGGTGGGAAGGACACTGTGTCCAGCTGGCCGCGCGCGGGTAGGAGCACAGGTTCGGACTGTGGCAGCAGGAGGAGGGCAGGGGTCATCCGAGTGAAGCAACGGGGATCGGACCCAAACATCAGGGTCTGCAGCTGGGCGGTGCTCAGGGTGGCACCTGCTTCCCAGAAGGGGGTATAGGCTGGCTCAAGATTTGGGGGCTCAGGGTAACTGCCTGCCGCGTGGGTCTTCCTCCCCAGGCCCCCAGCCTACCGTCTCCGTGAGGCTGCAAGGTCAGGGCGAGTCCTGCGCCAAGCCAGGCCCTCTCCGGGCGGTCCACAACCAGCACCAGATAGCGGGTGTCTGCGGTCGGGCAGAGGCTCTGCGGAGATGGGGCCTCAGCCCTGCCGGGCCTGGCTCTGCCATCCCTCCCTCCCCCACACCTTTCTCCACGCGCCCCTTGGAGACCCCTCCCGTGCCACCCGAGGTACCTGGGCAGCCAGCAGCTCAGCCCCAGTGACAGTGACCTCGGGGCCAGGCCCAGGGTACAGCACCAGCACTGCCTGCTCCGGGAGGTTGGCCGCACCAAGGGGGGGCTCCTGGAACCTCAGCAAGGGAGTCGGGTCCCACGTCACTGCAGCCAGGAGAGGGAAAGCGCTGAGCCAGGGGCCAGGCTGCCCCAGAGACCCCCTTCCCAGCTGGACAGAGAACCTGGACAGGCAATACCCTGCCCTGATAGAGGGGTAGTGGATACTAAGCCTGAAGGATTGGGGGGGGGGGCGCCCCTTGGGGTTCGGCTCCAGCTTTGTCCGGGGCACTTGGGGAGGACCCTACCCTGCTGCTTCTTCCTGGGTGGGGAGGGGGCCATCTGGGGACCCTGCCTAGATCCCCAACTTCCAGGCAGGACAGAGATGGGAGGCATGGCACCCCATCTGAAGAAGCTGCCACCCTTGGACTCAGAGGCGCTGCGTTCCCAGGTCCCCCAGGTACCTTCCGCCAGGTGCAGGACCAGCAGCTGCCGCCCCCCTGGCTCCCGAAGCCAGGCCCCCAGGTGCTGCAGAGCAGGCAGCGCTCTGCTGTGGCCAGGGCTGCAGACCCCGAAGGTGGCCAGGTCGCGGGGGCCCCACCGGGCGCCCCACACAGCCTCCAGGAAGGCCCGTTCGTAGCTGCTCAGGCCTCCCACCACCTGCAGGGGCGCCCCGCTGCTGTTGCTGGAACTGCTCAGGGTCACCAGGCACCAGGGGTCCTTTGGGCCACCTGGCGGCCAGACTTGGTCCTCTGGGAAGATGAGGCCCCCGGTGCCAGCAGCTGGATCTTCTCCAGGGGTCTCGGTCCCCAGCACGGCTCCCAGGGAGAGCAGCACAAGGGGCAGCTGGGCAAGAAGTGGCCCCTGCATGATGGGTGCTGGGGGGCCTGGCAGTCTGACTATGGCTTATATGGCCAGGGTGGAATGTTTGGGGGAAGGAGGCCCCTATCTCCCCTGGACGTGGCCTTGGCGACAGGGCCTGGTGCACCTCCAGGGCCTGGCAGGTGGGAGGCGACCTTCTCAAAGGGCTTTCTGTCTCGCCCTGGCCATATATCTATCTCTGCTCTCCTTAGATACAGCTCAGCCCGGCTGCACTGGCACACAGCTGGCCTTGAGGGACCGTCCCTCGGGACAGTAAACAGCACTGGGCAGCACAAAGCCCAGGGGGCAGCAGCACAGAGCCCTGGGCCGGCACAGGACCAGTGGTCCTTGGGGAGGGCAGCAGGCTTCAAGGTGCTGGACTTCAGGCTGGCCTGGACTACGCAGCTCAGCGCACCACGGAGCTCCTGGTGACCCTCCTGCCTCAGCCTCCAAAGTGGTGCTTAAAAGCCTTTGCCACCACACCCCATGCCCTTACCCACTTTTGGGGCCCCAGCTATAGTACACCCCAGGAGCAGGGACCTCACACTTTCCTCCCTGCTTCTGCCCAGTAGACAGGGTGAGCAGAGCTCACAGCTCCCCCCACTCCCCACCCCCCGCTGTTACAGCTGGATGGCAACCAGACACACGGGGGAGGCTGTTTAATGGGCTCTGGGCATAGTACAAAAGCTGAGGACTCTGCTCTGTGGGAAAACACAGAAAAACAGGCAGCCAGACACGGGATGCGGAGGGGGGGCGCCTCAGTTGGTTGGGGGCGGCGGAGGAATGTTCCCAGGGCCCTCCGAGGGCAGAGGAGGCCTCAACATTGGAGGCATGGGAGTTGGTGGATGTACCCCAGGGTTTGCTGGATGAACTCCAGGAGGCTGGGGGTGCACCCCAGGAGCTGCAGGGTGGACCCCAGGAGGCTGGGGGTGGACCCCTGGAGCCTGCGGGTGAATCCCAGGGGCTGCAGGGTGCACCCCAGGGGCCTGCGGGTGAACCGCAGGAGCAGGTGGGTGCACTCCTGGGGTTTGGGGGTGGACCCCAGCTGCTGGGGGAGGGTGCACGCCTGGGGCCGGTGGGTGGACCCCAGGGGCTGGTGGATGGACCCCGGGGGCTGGAGGGTGCACCCCTGGAGCCGCTGGGTGGACTGCAGATGTGGGGGCATGGACCACTGGTGCTGGAGGGTGCACCCCTGGAGCTGGGGGGTGGACCCCAGATGCAGGGGGGTGGACCACTGGTGTTGGAGGGTGGACCCCTGGAGCCGGAGGGGGCAGCTGGGGAGGCCCAGGGGGGCCCGAAGGTGCAGGCCCGGTGGGAGGCATGGGGGGCAGCGGCAGGCCGCCTGGTGGGGGTGGGGGAAGAGACTCCGGCAGCGGCGGCCGGGGGGGCAGCCCGTTCATCAGTGGGGGTGGCGGTCGCTTCACCCCTGGGGGCCCCGCGGGGAGGCTGGGTGGTGCAGGGGGCTTCTCCATCTTGAAGTGGAACTGGAGGAAGAACTAGCAGGACGGACAGAGTGAGGCTCAGCAGCCCAGCAGCGGGCCCAGGGGCAGCACCCCTACCCACCGGGCCCCCCATACCTACCTGCTTGGTTTCCCGGTTCCAGTGGGTCCAGAACTTGCCTTCCGCCTTGTCAATCTCCCTGCTAGGCACCTGGGGATTGGGGGTGACAAGGCTCCTGGTCCCCAGGCCTCCAAGTGGGCCATGGCTGCAGGGCTCACGTTCAGCCAGGTGCTGAGGTGCCAGGGCACCTGCTCCCCACTTGGGGCCCCTCCCAAGGAGTTTGGGAGACTCTGTTCTCAGTGCTGGGGTGGAATTCGGGGTCCCTAGATGTACATTTACCACTGCACCACACTCCCTACCCCCTTTTTAAGATTTTATTTTACTAAGTTTTGGGGAGTTTTCAGGCTGGCTTCCAGAGGATTCTCCTGCCTCAGCCTCCTGAATGATTACTACCACCTGGCCTCTTAAGGCCTATTTGTGGGTCCTGTGCTCCATCCAGGGGCAGAGCAGACAAGGTTTCACCCCAGCTCTGTTCCTTAGCTCATCTCAAGGCCTGGGGGGAGGGGGACAGATGCTCACCTGACTTACTCTCCTGGTACCTGACCTGGGGTACAGTGACACAGCCTCACAGATCTGGGCCCACACAAGATCCTACCCTGTGGGGGGGGGACATCCCACAGTGGCCCCCATAGCAGCCACGCAGCTGAGCTACCTTGAAGGCGATGGTCTCGTAGGGCTCAGCGGCCATGAGCAGGTACTGCCAGCGCCGGTCCGGGGGCTCGATTCGCTGCTCGTAGGCAGACATGAAGCGGTGGCGGGGCATGATACCCTCAGCAATCTCAGGGTAGTCGATCTGGGGGGACACAGGCACTCAAGGGGTGCCCTGAGGCTCCCCACACACCTGAGACCCAGGCCCCCATCTCACCTGAAACAGGAGGCTCTGCTGGCCCATCTCGGTGTCCCTCTGCTTGGTCACTATGACAGGCATGGAGGGAGGGTCGGCCTCAGGGACTCGTCCTCCCCAAAGCCAGGGAACCCTGTATGTTCTAATCACTGCCACCCGGGGGATGGGACAGTGGGACTCGAGGTGGTCCTCATGCCAGTGAGGGGGGCCTCGGGGCCCTGTGGATGCCACAGTGGGGCTGGCAGGAAGGCAGGGCGGATGGGTCTTGGAGGACAGGAGAAGGGATGTGCCCAACCCCCGTGACAGTGAGGGACGATGCAGAGGAAGGGCTGAACCCCAGGGCCAGCGCACAGTGGCGCTGTGTGGCCTGGTTGGGGCAGCGGCCGTGCACCTTTGTAGCCGGGGCGCCCGATCTTCACAAACTTCTTCACCTCCACCTTGACCTTCTCAGGCGCCGGCTGGGCAGGGGCCTCCTTGGCCTCCTTGGCCGCCCGCCGGGCTCTGTGGGGAGACAGAGGTGTCTCTGTGGCCTCTCCCGTGAGACGCCAAGGCCATGGGCCCAGATGCTGGAGCCCAGCCTAACCTTGGAGCTAATCGGGGAGGTGAGGGCCGAGGGCAGGGTGGGAAGCAAGCAGGATGGGATGGTGGGAGAGGCCCCACAGCAGCCCCCATCACAGCCCCGGCCGCAGAGGAGGGACACTCACAGGTTGGTCTGGTGCTTCTTCCCCTGTGTGTGGGCCAGGTAGCTCCCCTAAGGAGGGACAGAGGCAGGGAGGGAGCGCTGTCAGGGCTGCAGGGCCCAGCCGGCCTCACCGGGCTGGAGGGGCTGGGGAGGGCAGCGCCTGGCCCAGGGTGATGCATCAAGTCCTGGGGCTGGGCCTGTTGGGACATATCTGGGGACACTGCTGACAGAGGTACCCGCAGAGTATCACTTGGCACGAGGCGGGTGGAGGCCAGAGGGGGATACAGGCAAGCGCTGCTGGCTGCGCTCCTGTCCTTAGGCATGCACGTGAGCGGTGACAGCACCAATGGTGAGAGAAAGGAGTGGCAGGGCCACCTGTAGGTCCCCTGGGGAGAACTCTGGGTGCTGAGGGCATGGGACACAGGTAGGGACCAAGGGGACTCAGTGTCACCCACAGAAAGACACCCTAAAGCAAATGGGCTGCCGGCAAAGAGCAGAGCACCCCAGGTGGACCCGCAGTGTCCTGAGTGACAGTGCAGTGGGGTAGGGGCCTGCAGGGGCCTCACCTCATTGTTGTGCAGGGTCAGGCAGAGCTTGCATTCATAGGAGCCCAGGTGGTTTTTCATGAAATAGGGGTCCTGGAGGGGAAAGGGGGGTCCGTCAGACACGGAAAATCACTGCCCTGTGGCCAGGGCCAAGGCTGGCAGCTGCTGGCCCCCACCGGGAAAAGTCCTCTGGGAGCCACCTGAGCTCAGGGAGCAGCGGGGTGACCATGGTGGAGCCCCAGGCCCCACCTTGTTGATGTCGATGGTCTCCAGAGCCAGCTGCCGGAGCCGCTCCCTCCTGTCCCGGTTGCTCTCGGAGGAGGAGGCCACGCCCCCACTGCCCGTCTTGCCCCCGGGGCGGTGTTGGAAGTCCATGGTGAAGGCTTGCGGGGGTCACTGGGCGGCCCGGGAGAAACTGTGAAGGAAATAGGACAGGGACGGCACTGGAGGTCACGGATGCTGCCCATCACTGTGGCACACTGTGACCTGAGACAGGGGCTTACTGTGTAGTCCAGGCTGGGCTTGAACTCAATAGCAATCGTCTCAGCCTCCCTAGTCCTGGTATTACAAGCGTGCACCACCATGCCAGGTTTGAGCTGGCTTTAGAGACCCCCACCTGGGGCTGAGGGGTCATCAGGACACCTCCCAGTGACCACACTGGAGGAAGTCACTCTGACTCACAGCACAGAGGCTGGAACTGCAAAGAGCAATGGGGTGCCATGCAGAGGCCCAACCAGGGAAGAAGAGACTCCCAGACTAATCGAGCCCCCACCTTACAGCTTCCTGAGATCTCATTCTGGCTGTCTCCACTAATTACAAACTGACTCCATTTCTGCAGCTGGCCACAAGCTTGCCAGAGGCCTGGATGCTGTCTAGCTCTGGACCCTGCTGCTGATACACAGCTCCGTCTTCGAAACTGCCTGGAGCCAAGGCAGAGCCCTAAGGGCCTCTCCTGCACCCCTGCAGACCACCCTGGCAGGCTCTCGGAGCCCTGTCTGTTCTATCAGGCTCCAGGCAGTATTCTATTACCCAACACCAACCCTGAACTCATCCCTGCCTGCTTTAAGCCTGGGCTGAGCAGAGGCAGAGCCCAGGAAGGGAAGTGAATTATAGAGTCCCCAGAAACATCGTGGAGGGGGCTGATCCCAGGGAGGAGAAAACCAGAAAGGAGGGCAGAGGGGAAAAGAAAGGACCAAAAACAAAACAAGCCAAAATAAAAAACAAAAACAAAAAACAGGAAACAGGGCTTTTGTAAACCAGGGGAAGACAAAGGAAAGAAAAGTAACCTGGGCCCTGGGATTTAGCTCAGTGGCATAAGCGCCTGCCTGGCAAGTGCAAGATCATGTGTTTGATCTGTGGTACCAAAAAAAAAAAAAAAAAGGAAAGCAACGTGGTTAAGCACACCATGTATGTTAGCACTGCACAATACTCTGAACCTGAGAAAACCTAAAGGACTGTACAATGGTCGTGGAGGGCAGGGGCGTGGGAGGAAGGGAGAAAGGAGACTCCATCCACTACTTTAGGAAATCAGCATTTGACACCTGTAAAGGGGGACGCCTAGAAACAAAGTTAGTCTTGGTGCACACCTGTCCACCCAGGCAAATGTGAGACCAGCCTGGACAACTTTGTGAGACCTCATCTCAAAATTGAAAGTGTTCATGTCATCCCAGCACTCGGGAGGCTGAGGCAGGAGGACTGCTGCGAGTTCGAGATCAGCCTGGGTTACAAAGTGAGCTCAAGGCCAGCCTGAACTGCATAGAACACACACACACACAAAATAAATAAATACATGAGTGTTGCGGGTGCGGCTCTGCTAAAGGTCCTGGGTTCAGTTCCCGGTGCCATCACACAGGCGGCGTGTGTGATGATGAGTCTGCAGAGTGAAGAACACCGCGCCACTTTGCAGGAACCGAGGAGAAGATGACCTCTGGGGCTGTGGTCAGGGACGAATTCCTTCTCTCTCTTTCCCTCCTTCCCTCTCGGCAATGGGATACAGAACCCTGGACCTTCGCTCTGAGTTACATCTCGGTCCATTGGTTTCTTACTTTGAGGCAGGGACTCACAAAGTCGCCGAGCCTGGGCTCGAACTCGTGATCATTTCGCCTCAGCCTCGCAGAATTTTTAAGAGGATCCCCCGCCCCAACTGTTCCATTGTGCGATACCCGGCATACGCTTGTGAAATGAGGTGCAGAGTCGCGTTGGGTGCGGGGCGAACGCTGCGGGGCCCCGAATTAAGAACAAAGGACCCGCGGCGCTCATGGGGGTTAACGGTCCCGCCAAGACCCAAAGCCAAACCGGTAGCGGTCTTCAAAGGAGGCCTGGGGGATAAAGCAGCCGCGACCCTGCCGCGCCTTCACAAAGGGCGCTCCAAGACGCGCCGCCAGCCCGCGAGACCCACCACATGCGCCTCGCTCTCACGCCCGCCTTTCTCCGGTAAACCCCGGAGCACGGCCCGCGCCACTTCTCACCTAGGCCGGAGGCCACTCTGTCGAGACAACCGCCAAGACTTCGCTGTGCGCACGCGCGCTACGGGCTATGGAACCACTTCCGGGGCAATGTATCAGGGTCTCACACTTGCGCATGCTCAGCCCGCCCAATAACCCGGATGGACACTCCGGCGGTGCCCCCCCCCCCCGCGCTGAGACGCGCGTGCGCATAGTGGATTCCAGGTTGTGCAGGTCTGGCTGTGGCGAGAGGGCAGGCTGAGACTCTTATTTTAATAAAAGTTACTGCTCCCTCCACTGTGCTTCCTATACAGGGAGGGGGCCAGGAAACTTGAGGTCAGGCGGAAACAACCAAAGAGAGACGGACCATGTCGCTTGGGTGCTGTGAATCTGTACCCATTCCAAATTTTGTGTTTTTCATGCTTAAACAGACCCTTACTCCCGCACTAGATCGTGCTCTGTCTCACGATGCCGCCGCACGCTCGCGCCATCCAGTGGTGGCTTTTGGAAATGGCCGACCCACAACGCGCAGGCGCAATAGCCTCGACGGTGCTTCCGGTTTGGTGTCCTGAGACCTTTGTGGCGCGGGCCGCGGTGGAAACGGGGACGGTGGCCGGGCAGGAGGGTGCGGACCGTCGTTCCGCGTTCTCTTTCCCGAATTCCCCACAGTTGTTACTATGCGGTACAACGAGAAGGAGCTGCGGGCTCTGTCCCAGCAGCCGGCCGAGATGGCCGCCGAGTTGAGCATGCGAGGACCCAAGAAAGGCAGCGGTGAGCGGTTGCGGACTGGGGACTGGGTCAGAACGGGGGTGTGGGGGGGGTGGGGGGCTGTCCCCCGGCGGCGCTGAGCCCCGCCCTGTTCCCGCAGTGGCCAAGCGGCGGCTGGTGAAGCTGGTGGTCAACTTCCTGTTCTACTTCCGCGCCGACGAGGCCGAGGTAGGGGCATGGAGGCCGCGGGGGGCCCGCCCGGGCGGGCGGCCAGCGCTCACGGCCGTGTCTCGCGCAGCCCCTCGGAGCCCTGCTTCTGGAGCGCTGCAGAGTCGCGCAGGAAGAGCCCGGCGGCTTCTCTATCAGTGAGTGGCCCCCGCCGTCCCCTCCCCGGCCGGGCTGCTCCCTCCCTGGACACAAGAACCTCTTTGATGGTCCTCGGGTGGCCCAAGGTCAGGTCCTGGCCGTCCGCCCCGCGCACCTGCCAAGCCGCCAGCCCAAGCTGGCTGGGCTCCTGCCCACGCCTCCCGGGCCAGCCCTGGACTGGCCCCTCGCGCGGGCCCACGGCCAGCCCCGCCCAGCTGCTCCAACAGCTGCCGCTCCCAAAATGCCACCAAGACCTTCGCTTTTTGTTTCTCCCTCCCTTGTTTGTTGGCCAAATGCAGGGTGCCCGAGAGGAAGGGATAGACCTGCCGGTCACCTCTAGGAGATGCAGGTCACAGGGGAAGATGGGTTGTCTCTTGGAGCTGTCATTACAGTGCAGCTGACTTGGTGACTTTCATACCAACAGCAGTCTCTATGGGCAGCAGTCTGCGGACGGTCCGACGGGCTGGGTGCCTTCTCAGGCTGTGAGCGCTGGTCCCAGGCCCCTTCCCAGCCATCCTGGAGTTCTTGGAGCTTTATGTCGCTTTTGTCTCCATCCTCATACAGCATTTTGTCTTTATAAAGACTGCAGTTATTGGGTTTAGGGTCTTCACCGTCCCTGCCCTTAATGCTGGGGGGATTGGACTCAGGACTCTCACAAAGATCCTGTTTCAAACAAGGTGACATTTACAGGTTGCGGGGGAAACCAGGATTTGAGCCTGTGTTGCACAGGTGGGATCCAGGTCAGCTCATGATGCAATGCAATGAAACCTTGGTGGGGCCACAGGAGGGGCGGCCTGGGCCCTGGCAAGAGAAAGCTGTGGCTGGCAGGGTGGAGAGCAAGCGGGGACCCACTGGAGGTGCTCCGTCCCATCCCCTCTGCAGGCTTCATCGAGGACCCCGAGAGGAAGTATCACTTTGAGTGCAGTAGCCAGGAGCAGTGTCAGGAGTGGATGGAGGCTCTGCGGCGGGCCAGGTGGGGCTCGGGGACAGCGGGGACACATTGGGCACCGCCACCAGGAAGGGGTGGAATTTGGAAGCTGACCAAGCAGGTGCCCCCCTTTTTCTCAGCTACGAGTACATGCGGAGAAGCCTCATCTTCTACAGGAATGAGATCCGGAAGATGACTGGCAAGGTGTGCGCAGGGCGGACGGTGGCAGGGCCAAGTTGGGGGGGCCCGTCTCACCTCACTCTACGCCCCTCATAGGACCCCCTGGAGCAGTACGGCATATCCGAGGAGGCCAGGTTCCAGCTGAGCAACTTGCCCCAGGATGGGCGGGCAGCATTGGTCTGCGCTCGGCTAGATGAGCTGGATTAACGCTCTGCCCAGCCTCGAACTGGGTCCCCTGGGCGCAAAGCCCGAAGCTGGCTGGGGTGGGCGGGGCTCAGGCTACGGTTTTGGAGAAACCCAGCAAGTGGCCCTTCACTGTGCCTTGGGACCCACCAGAGGGTTCTGGCACCTGGGTGCCACAGTGTGCTGCTAGGCCAAGTGCCCCCTGTGTGCTGGGCGTACCCCCCTGCACGCTGGGTGTGTCCCTGGCCGGCAGGGCCCTCCGGTCCTGCGCCAGCTGAATGTACGGAGCTAAGGGAAGCTGTGAATGGTGAGGGGCTCCCTCTGCCAGCGGTGACCTCCACTCCTGTTGAGGGGGACGGCTGGTCCTGGCCCTGGGCCACCACACTCACTGTGTTCAATAAAGGTACCTCTTTCTACACTGAGGACGGCAAGGTGGATGAGAAGTGGGGCCCTGGCAGCGGGCGCCCCCTCAGCACACTGGTCCTCACAGTGTGAACGCGCGGGGACTCCGGGGTGACCCAGGACCCCAGATGAGCTGGCTTTGAGAAACTGGGGTGGGGGGGGGTCTTCTTTGCCCTGCCACGGAGCAGCTGCTGGGGGCTCCCTCCACCCTGGGGAGAGGAGTCCCCACATAGGAAGCACACATATCGCTGTGTCGAGTGATGCCAAGAAAAAGCCGTTGAGACCAGGTCCAAGTGAAAACTGCTTTTATTACAGCGCCTGGGGGACACAGTGCAGTGGACAGCGGGGCAGAGGTACAGCGTTGGTTACAGACGCAGCCGAGCCAGTGGGGGTGGGAGGCAAGCTGTGTGGGGAGCCGGGGAGGGCGTGCTCGTGGGACGATAAATACTTGAGAAGGTAAGTCTTAAATAAGTTGCCATTTGTGGGGCTCACATAGGATGGGGAGCCTGGTTCCTGGCAACTGGTGGGTCAGCAAGGTCACAAAAGGGTGGGTTGTCCGGTCCTTAGGGTTCCTGACCAATTCCTGAGGCAGCGCCACATGGCACCCTCCCAGGGTTGTCCCAGGGCCAGGGCAGCCCAAGATGGGAGCCGCTGGCAGCACCAGATTCCAGGGCGGCTTGTGCCACTGCGCTGCCCTGCTGCCCGGGGACGGGGACGCAGCTCAGTTGGGTGGGGGCGCGGGTGGGTGCACACGCGGGGCAGCGCCGCACGACGTTAGCTTACTGGGGGGTGCACGCGTCCCGTGGGCTCAGGAGGGGACGTGGGCGCGGCCCCTAGCGGGGCGGCATCTGCCAACACTCAAGTATATGCGTGGAGCCTGGGGCCCGGCGCTGCCGGAGCATACAGTGTTAGTTTGGAGGACGTGACCGAGACAGGGCTTGCTGCCTGCTGACTTTGCTACTGTCATCTAGGGGCTGGGTGGTGAGAGGTGACCCTTGGCCCCCGCATGCCAAGCAGGGTGCCGGGGCGGGGTCCGTGGGAATGAGGCACAGCACCTAGAGGCCAGGCTGAGAGCACCAACTTGGGGGAGGGGTCCCCAGCACCATCTTTAGAACTCACTGCTAGGTGGGGAGAAGCAGGGGTCCGAGCCAGACTGACAGGGTGAGTGGGAAACCCAACACTCGGACCTCCCAGATGGAGAAGCCCGGGCCTGGCCGCACGGCAGGCGAGGGGACCTGCAAGGACAGTGGCAGCAGGACCCTGGCCGCAGTGTGGGGCTCGCACTCCTGCAGGGCGAGGGGGCAGACGGGTGGGGCAGCCGGGGCCAGTGCGCTTTGTGCATTTGAATAAATAAGGTTTCTCTTCCCCTTGCTTTTCTCTTTAAACTCCCTGTGCATTGTACAGTCTAAAAATAAATGCGGTCAAGTCTATGAAATTTATAAATTCTCATCACATCTCTATAAAATACCATCGCACCTTCGTGCGCCTCTCTCCTATACACAGACGCCACACCGCGGGTACAAAGTAACTGCACTTGTCACATGCCAGCACCACCAGGAGCGGCAGGAGCGCTGCGCCGGCTTCACAGTCGGGGAGGCGGCGCCCCGGGGACTCTCAGCACCCGCACGGGGCTCGGGCTCCGGGCTCCGGGCTTCGGCGGGGCGGCGTCCGGCAGCACCAAGAGGCCTGGCGGCGGTAGCACCGGGTCGCAGGGCTGTGGCCGCCCGCCCCACGGCCGAGTCCTCCTCTGCAATGAAGTTCTCAGACATTTACATCCCAGCGGGCTGCCCTGACAACTCGGTGGAATAAAGTAAGTCAGAATTGTGTGTACTCTTTAAAAAACGATAAATATTTTATCTAAAACTATGGACAGTACAGACTGGAGCAGTCCAGCACCTCCTGCGGTGGTGTGCCGCGCCGATTCACAGTGGGGCGCTGTCCGCCGTCCCGCCGTCCGTCCAGCCATCCATCCTTCCGTCGGTGGGAGCCTGGCAGCGCCAGCCCTGAGCAGCAGGCGCTTGGTCCCACCGCCTTGCATAGTCGCGCGTGAGGTAGAAGTCCTAGTTACCTGTGGGACAGCGGGGGCAGCGGTTAGCGGGGGTTAGCGGTGAGCCCAGCGCAGCCCGGGGGGCCGGGCAAGTTCTCCGGAGCGCCCTGCACAGGACCACCTGCCTCCGTGGCCGGGCGCAGGGCACCCGTGAGTGTCGCGGTCCCCAGTCCAACTCTAGCGCCTCAAGACAGTTGGCATGTGCCCCAGCCCAGCACCGACACCCTCTCCAGGGGCGTCAGCACGCCACCATGTGCTCCTGCGCCCACGTGTGGACACCTGACCGCTGCCCCACGCCACAGCCTTGCCACAGCAGCACCAGCCTGCTCGAGTGGCTGCCGTGACGGGTGTGCAATGCCTGGGGTGCCAGATGCAGCCCGAGCCACCGCGCGCCCTGCGCAGGTCTTGCTAAGCTGCCTAGGCTGGGCTGAACGGACAATCCTGCCTCGGCCTCAGCAGGCAGGGACGACAGGCGTGCGTCACCAGCCTGGCCACACCAGGTCCCACCCTCTCTGGAGGGCAGTGGTCTTCGAGGGCCACCTCCGAGCCCTTCCCAATGCGCTCCCCGCTGGCTGGAGCCGGCCAGGGCATAGAGCCCAGCCGGGGGGTGTGCGACCACCCGGCTCCAGGGCCTGCTGTGCACCGGCGGGGACTGTCCCCACTCCCCCGGGGGCCGCAGGGCGCCTCCCGCCTGAGCCTCGCCCGGCACCTGCTGCGCTGCCCACCCGGGCTGTCCTGCAGTGCGGGAGGGCGGCCCGGGCCAGCGGTCGGGTCGGGTCACCAGCCCCACCCCGAGGGCCTGCGGTGCGAGGGCGGGTGTTGGGTGCGGGGCGCCCGCCGGGCGGGCTCTGGCCTTACCTTACAGCACACGAACGGCTAGCTAAGCAAGCTCGTTACCGGGGCTTAACCCCCGCAAGGTGCGCAGCGTAAGGAGGCGGCATGCCAAGGGAAACCCACACGGCGGACGGGCCCGCGGCGCCGGCCTGCGGGACGGCCAGGCGGGCCAGAGGCTGCGGGGGCACCGCGAAGGCGGGGCGGGCGGCCTTGTGCGGGAGGGAGGCGAGCTGGACGGACAGAGAGGCGTTAGCGGGCTGCAGGGAGGCGGAGGCGGAGGCGGACAGCGGTAAGAAAGCTTTGTTAGGCGGGAGGGCGGCCAGGCTCTGCAGAAGCGCGGGCTCGGGGTTAGCGGGCAGCAGCGCGGCGGGCGGAGGGTTAGGGGTAGGGGTAGGGGTAGGGTGCGGGTTAGGGAGCGGGCGGGGGCGAGGCGGGCAGGCGGGCGGAGCGGGCGGCCGCATCTCGGCCGCAGCCGGGGCCTGAAAGGAAGAGGCCGAGGTGCTGGCCGCCGCCTGCAGGGGGCCCGGGCCGCCGACAGTGGCTCCGAACGGGCGAGCAGAGGCGGGAGGCACCGCGAGGCTAGCGACACCTGCAAGGAGGAGAGAGAAGCGCTTCAGCAGGCGGCGGGGCGGGGCGGCGGGCGGGCGGGCCAGGCGCGGGCGGCGGCCATCGGCGTCGGCATCATCGGCGGCGGCCACTCACCTGGGGTGCGGCCACCCTGGGCCGCCGGCCGGGCCGGCGCGGAGCTGCTGCAAAGGGAAGCAGGTTAGGGCGCCCGCGGCCGCGCTGCCTACCTCCGACGGTGCCGCCAGCCACCCCGGGGGGGAAGCTGCCCATGGCGTGCGAGTTGCTCAGGCGGGTCGCAGCGGACGACACGTGCACCAGGCCGGCGGCGGCCGGCACCGAGCCGAACAGGGACTGCAGCACGGAAGGCCCGGCCACGGCGCCCAGGCTGGCCTGCAGCGCCACGGGGCCCAGCGAGAAGGGCGGGCCGGGCGCGAAGGCGCCCAGGAAGGGCCGGTGGGCCTGGGCCGCGGGGGCCGTGCCGCTCGCCGAGGACGCCGCCGCGGGGCCGCCCAGCAGGCCGGCGGGGGGCACGGCGGCCGCCGAGATGAAGAGGTTGTGGCCGCTCTTGAGGTCCAGCTCGCGGTCCCGGGCCTTGGCGGCCCTGCTGCCCGGCGGCGGTGCGGCCTTGTCCGCAGGCGCGCCCGCCTCGCCCTGCTCCTTGCCCGGGCCGCCTTCGCCCTTCGGGCCGCCCGCGCCGTCCGCCGGCCGCTTGCCCAGCAGCGGGTGCGGCTCGGGGGCGCCGTCCTTGGCACGCTGCGTGGGTAAGCTGGCCACCTCGGCGCCCTTGTGGGCCAGCGTGGCGCCGTCACCAAAGCCGTGTAGCCCGAGGTCTGCGGCCAGACCCCCGCCGAAGGCCAGGCCGTTGGGGGTTCCGGGCCCGGGCCCATCGGCGCCAGCGAAGCCCTTCCTGGGGTGCGCGGCCAGCTTGGTGTCGGCCGCGGTGGGCTCGTCAGGGGCCGGCCGGAAGGCGAACAGGGAGCCGGGTGCCAGCGCGGCACCGGCCTGCAGGGGGCTGTCGGCGGGCTTGGTCAGCGCCACGTCCGAGATGGGCGAGAAGGTGGCCTTCCACTTGCTGCTGTTGACCGGCTCGCTCGCGGGCGCCAGCTTCCTGCCCGCAGCGCCGCCACCTGGCGGGGTGATGGGCCGTGAGGAGGGGGCAGGTATAGCCGGGGTGGGGAGCAGCTGGCCAGCATGGGTGGGCAGGGCAGCGGGGCCACCTCGCGGCCACCACCGTCCTGGCCTCGCAGACAGCGGCGCCTCCGGCCTAGGCCGTGCGTGTCTGGGGTGCAGGCAGGCATAAGGGGCACCCGAGGCCCTGGCCCGGGCCGCCACTCACCGTTCTCCAAGGCCTTGGGGGGAGACCTGCTCTCCAGGGAAATGGTTGCTATCTTCCTCTCAATGCTGTCACGGGAGGAAGATGCCCTCATTGTCTGAACCTGCTGCTGTACCCCGAGGGGCAGCAGGGTCCCCGCTGGGGAAAGGCCAGGCAGCGGCTGCCCTGGGGACCCCCCTGAGATAGGGTGCAGTCTCCCGACCCCGGCAGAGGCGGGGCTGGGCTGGAGCTGGTGCCCACTCTGACCCGCAGGCCCCAGGGATGCGGCTGCCATGGGCCAGGCCGCAGGGAGCCGGGGAAGGGCAGGCAGGGCAGGTGCTCGGCACAGCGGCTGCGCAGACACACAGACAGACAGACAGACACACACAGCAGCTGTGTAGAGCCAGTCTTGGGGGCAGCACAGGACCAGGGAAGGGGAGGGGCGAGTGAGCAGTCCTTGGGGGACACCGCCTCCCCAGGGCAGGACCTGGGGGACCCCATGTGCGCTACCACATGGGTGCTCACAACGGGGCACAGTTCCCAAGGACCTGGACATGGCAGTGGCCTACATCCAGGAAGGACGGCCAGATGGACGGAGGGTCAGAAGGATGCATGCAGCCAGCCTGCTGCACGCTGGGCCAGCACTGGGCCGGGTAAAGCAGCGAGGCTGTGACGGTCGTCACAGGTTTAGGGACCTCAAGGACACTGTGCTCTAGGACACGCCAGACACAGAGGACACGGCGTGAGCGCCACACACAGGAAATGCCCAGGGCCACAGATGCCAGGGAACACGTTAAAACAGCTCTTTAAAAACACGAGCCAAGCAGGAACAGGGTGCTGAGACAACCCTAAAATGTCTTTTCTTTGTCTTCGGGAGACAGGGTCTCACTACGCACTTCAGGCTGGCCTCGGGCTCCCGGTGCGGCCCAGCCTGGCCTCAAACTCGTCCCATCTCACAGCCCGAGCGCTGGGATCGTGAAGCCCCTTTTTATGAGAGCCAGCCTGGCCTTACACCCTGAGGCTCAGTGACCTGAGCGGCTGGTGTGACGGCTTGCATCACATCCGGGTTCTCAGTTTCTTCATCCTCCTTGCTGTGGCCCAGTTCCTGCCCCACCAGCTGGCACCCAGGTCCCACTGGACACAACTCTGGCCCCGCTGGCAGGCCACCTGCCTCGGGCCCCCTCCCCGTGCCCCGGCTGGGAGCTTCACGCTACCCTCCCTGCCACTCACCGGGCACTGCTGGGCTCATCCTCAGAGCCGGGCTCCTCGTCCGAGGTCAGCGGGGAGTAGTGCGCCCCGTTGGTCTGGCCCAGCGGCCGCTCCTTTTTGAGCACGGGCGGCTGGTCATGGTCCTGGTAGGGCACAGGTGAGCTCTTCAGGGAGGTCTCGGGGGAGGAGATAGCAGTGATCTCCAGTGGCTGGTTGATGTTGCTGACCTGGGTGGGCAGAGGTGGCAGATGCACCTGGGGAACGGGCTGGACACGTGGGCCCCACGGCGCACAGCAACAGCCTGCTCTGTAGCCCCCGGCCCCTCCCGAGCATCCGAGCCAAGCCAGCAGCTGGTGGGGCACTGTCGTGGGTATGGCTACAGTCAGTCATTGTGGCCACCATGTCTGCACCCACTCTGGTCCCACACCGAGATACGGGCTCGAGCCTGCCCCTCAGCACACACCCCAGGGTTCTGCCGTCCTCACCATGGAGCTGAGGTTGAGAGGGGACCCTGAGGACTGCGTGAAGAGCCCGGCAACATTGGGCAGGGCGCGCCGCTTGGGGGATACGCCTGCACTCAGACTGGGGGTTCCGGCTGACATGCGCTTCCTCCGGCCACGCTTTCGGCTGTCCTGCCCGTGGCCAGACCCGCACTCTCCGCGGGCCAGGGGGCTGTGTTTGGTGGAGGGGGACTGCTTGGCGCTGCCCGCACCAGCCGAGATGGTGAACACGATTCTTCTCTTGGCGTCACTCTCGGGGTCTGAGAAGCCCAGGTCAGTGGGAAGGTCGCCCTTGCCCATGTCAGGAAGCAAACCCTGGGTGGCCCCAATGAGCCGGGGACTGGCGGAGAGCTGGTGGGCAGGGGACGCAGGTCCTGAGTTCCGAGGCTGTGCCAGCAGAGGTGGATGCTGTGGCGTGGCGCTCCGGGACCCCACGGTAGCGAACAGGCTCCCCGACGGCTCATCAAAGGTGGCTGGCTCCACGCCGGGTGCGGGTGGTGCCGGGCTGCCAGCCAGGGCCCCACTGATGGCCACGGAGCCCGCATAGGAGAAACCTGCAAGACCACATGGGGCTCTCGGGATGGAGGCACAAGGACCTGGGAGCTGGCCACCAGGGGGCACTGGTGGGTTCCGGGGCAATTCTGGACACAGCAGGAAGGTGCCAGGCCACCTGGGACCTCTTGGAAGAAGAGACAGTGACCTACCTGCCCTGTGTCACCCAAGCCTGGTAGCAAGTTGGCCCACAGCCCTGACTGCCTGGTGGCTGGCAATGGGAAGAGCCCCAGCCTGCATGTCGCCCTCCCTGGGCAGGCACTGAGGGCAGTGACCTGTGCACAGCAGTGGGGACTGCAGCCCGAAGAGTGGGAGGCCTGGCTGGCCATGTGTGACCTCAGTGGAGGCCTTCTGCACGTCGTTACCAGCCACTCTGGGGAAAGTGACTGCCGGGGCTGAGTGACCACCGTCAGAAGTGGCTTCCACCACCACAGCGCAGAGAGCGGGACAGGAATGGCGCCTTCCCCCAGCTCCCACATGGCCTCTGGGGCTTTAAACTACCGCAGAGCCCAAGCAAGGCTGCTCCCGGGCCGGCAGGCAGCCCCAACACCCACAGGGTGCCCTGGGCCACTTCCACACCCTGGGAAACCCCACTGCCGGTCTTGCTCCCAGATCCCGGGCCGCTACGGCTGTTTTAACCAGTCCTCGAACTGGGACTAGGCGGCCCTGCTCCTGCCTCACACTAACCCTGGCCTCTCCTTCTCTTTTGCACAGGGTTTTGCCCAGCTGATCGGGCTGAGCTCAGCCTCGAGGCGCGAGCTTCCCCGCCCTGCACCCCTCCAAGACCTGGGTGTAGTGGCCACGGAGGGCTCTGGGGGACGGGACAGGGTTACCTGCAGATGCCAGGGCCAGGCTCCGGCTCCCTGAGGCGTTGCTCCCGGCACTGTGGGCATTAGCACCGATCTGTTTGTCAAGCGCAGACGCGGCGTCCCGGGGCTGCGGCCCGGGGCTGGGGGTGCTCCTCTGCGAGAGAAACCCACAGCGGGTCAGCGGGCTGGGGCAGGAGTTCAGGCGGGGGGCTCTATTCCGCCCGCTCACGCCACCTTTCACCAGAAACAGACTGGGGGTGAGAACAGACAACACGCTGCGGTTAACCCCGGACCCCGCCCGCCCTCGGCCGGGGAGCAGCAGCGCCCTCGCAGTCCACTGGCATGCGGTGGCCCGGACAGGGACGACCGCCCGCCCCCGCGCCCGCAGTGGCCCAGCCCGTGCTCACCACCCTCTCGGCGCGGCTGGGCAGCACCACGCTGGCCAGGGGGATGCTGACGGGGAGCTTGTTGGGCTGCACGGTGCTCAGGGGGATGCTGATGGGCAGGCTGGTGATGGTCTCCCCGTGGCTGCCATACATGCGCTCCTTCCCGCCCTATGCAGATGGACGCACATGTTGAGCCCCACCGCCGCCTCCAGAAAGCACCCCGGTCTTCTCGGGACCTCCTCCCACCTGGCGGGCCCTTGGCCATGGGCTAGGACGTCCTGGCCCCTTCACCATCGCCCCCCTAGGCCCTGTGACAGGTGCCTAAGAATGATGGCCTCCTGGACTGGTGCCAGTGTGGTGCTGGGGGAGGCCAGCCTGGCGTCCCTCCCTGTCGTTACCTGGCCACTCATCCCTGGGTCCCCAAAGAGCTCCACGCATCCACCAGGCTAGGCGGCACCCCTATTGGAGCCCTAGTTACCCCGATGACCGCTCCTGGCCCTCCCAAACCTGAGGGGCCTATCATTCATGCCCAGCCCTCGGCTTGGGGCTCACAGGGGTGGCACCTCACCTTCTCACTGCCCTTCTCCCCAGCTTGGGGGGCTGCCCCTGGCGAAGGGGGCCTTGGGTCCTGAGGGCTCAGCTTCATGCTAGGGGGCAGCCCAGGGCTCTGGTAGGGGAGGCTGCTCTCCTTGGGGTGCTCGGCTCTGCAATAGGAAACCCAGTCACTCTTGGAGCCCTCGGAAACCTCCAAACCTCCCGAGTACCCATGGGCCCTCAGAGACCTGGGTACACTCACCTAGGGTGTGGCTCATTGGTCGCCACCTTGGCAGAGCCCCCGTGGTCCTGACTCAGGTGCCGGCGCAGCACAACTTTGGCCGGGGAGAGCCGGGTGTAGTCGGGCAGCGCCAGCCCCGACAGCTGCTCCAGCCGGGGCCGGCCGGTGTGGCTGGGGGTGCAGGGCACGACCTCCTGCTCCAAGGGGGAGGCCAGGTACTGCGGGGTGTTCTGCTTGGATGAGGGCCGGCTCAGCACACTACAGAGCTCATAGCCAGCGGCGTGGCCGTTCATGGAGAGCTCAGGGCTCGCACTGCTGAAGGGGGGCAGGGAGAACTTGGCGCAGTCCAGCTCCAGGTGCAGCCGGCCAGCAGCCTCAGTGTCCAGCTCCCTGCCCAGGGTGCTCTTCCCGCGCAGGGGCACTGGCAGGGTGTCATCAGGAGGCACGCAGGACTTGAGCTGCAGGAGCTCCTGCTGCCGCTGGCTCTTCTCCAGCTCCACGATGCTGATCTACAGGGGCAGGGGTGGTGAGGCCAGCAGGTAGAGGGGTGGCCACCCTGCCCAGGGCACCCACAGGCCCTCCCCCATGAGGGGAGCAGCCCTCTCAAGGAAGGAACAGAAGGTGACCACGCTGGGTGCTGCAGGGATGCTGGTCACTTATGCTGGGTGAAAAAGCCCAAATTGCCCGCATCTGAGGATGGAACCTTTTGCAGGTACAGCGGCGCCACCCCTGCCACCCAGCTCCCTGCTGGCCATGGTAGGAGAACTGCGAATGCAAAGCCAGCCTCGTGTTAGTCAGCGCCACCCTGTGGCAACACTGATCTTGTTTGTTGTTGTTCTGTGTATGTGTTTGATGCAGGACCTCGTTATATATATATATACAGTTCTGCCTGGGCTGGAATTCACAGCAGTCCTCCTGCCTCCGCTTCCCAAGTGCTGAGATTATAAACATCAACAACCAAGCCTCAAAAAGCGCTGTGGCTGGAGCTAAGTAGTACTCTGTCTGCCTATTCTGTGCAAGGCCCTGAATGTAACTCCCAGTAACCCCCAGCACCATAGAAAAAGAAAAAAAAAAAAAAAGATCAGAAACTGTGTGAACACATCTCTTACAACCCAAAGTGTGGGAACAGCTCTCATTCATCACTAAAACAGCACGGTTTTAGAGACTCCAACTCCTGAGCGTAGCTGTGTGGGGCGGCGTGCACTTGCCATCCCAGCACTCTGGGAGGCTGAAGCAGAAGGGTCACAAGTTCCCAGCCCAAACTTGGCAAATAAGACTGCCTCTTTTTTTTTTTTGTCTTTTTCCTTTTTATCAGTACTGGGGATCAAACTCACAAGTGCCTGCTTGCAAGGCAGGCACTTATGCCGCTGAGCTAAATCTCCAGCCCATAAGACTGCCTCTTAACTTAAAAATACACAGCGCTGGATGTAACTGGGTACTGAGCACCTGTGTTCATCCCCAGTAGTGGAAAAGTGGGCTCAAGGGATCCTCCTGCTTCAGCCTCCCAGAGCTCAAGAATTACAGGTGTGTGCCACCACGCCTGCCTCAAGACACGTTGTGGAACCTTCAAAAGCCAGTAAAACGGCTTTGGGAACATGTCATTAAGGAAATGGCCTTGCAAAGTCTCTGGGCCAGGTGTGGTGGCACACACCTGTGATCCCAGCAGCCTTGGCAGCATGAGGGAAGCAGATGCCAAGTTCAAACCCAGCCTGGGCAACACAGTGGCTTAGTGAGACCGTCTCCAAAGGAGATAGGACTGAGGTGCTCCTTGGTGGAAAGTCCTTGGGAAAAGTCCCAACTTCTACAAAAAAAAAAAAAAAAAAAAAAAGCCCGGCATCCCAGAGCTGTTCCACAGTGAATCACCTACAAGAACCCCGAGGGAGCAGTGACGGGGATGCCCTGCGTCACTTGGGACACCCTGCCTGGACACAGCCACCCGCAGGGCTCAGGCTGTGCAGTGAGATGCACACCTTGCCCCTTCAATGCCAGGCAGTGCACCGCGAGGGAGCCCAGGCTCCGCTCTCCTCCATGCTTCCTGCCCTGCGAGCGCACTTCCGGCCTCAGCGCATCCGCTGGCTTCGAATGCGCGACCCCCGGGCCAGCGACCTCCCCACAAGCTGTTGACCGGGAGGGCCGGTCCCAGGGTGCTCCCGCCTGCCCCTGGCCGGGGCCCACCTGCAGCTCCAGGCAGTGCCGCTGCTTCTCGGAGATCTGGCTGCGCAGGGCCTGCTTCTCCTTGCGCAGCTTCTCCAGGGACAGCGTGGACCAGTCCAGCTTAAGCTCCTCGCAGCGCGCCCGGAGCTGTGGGTGCAGGAACAGCGTTTCAGTGGTGCCTGGCCAGACAAACGTGGGGGAGAACAGAGCAGACTGGGGTGCTGGGGCTCCCCAGGTGGGTGCCGGGGCCAGCCCAGGGCAGCTTGCCTCTATCCTCCAGCAAGGCACCTGGAACAGCGCCAGAGCCAGGACTCCTTGCTGGGCGGGGACCTCGTGGCCACCTGTGCTACGGGTGACTGCGAGCTGACCAGGGAACTGGGGTGATGGACGTTCCCACAGCATGGGGTCAGGAGGCGCAGGGCGCACGCACCAGCTGCAGGCTCTGGCCGCGCAGTGCTCGGTTGTCCTTCTCCAGCTGCTCCGACTGCTCTCGCAGCTGCTGGTTGTGGGCCGAGATCTCCTTCTGGGCTTGGATCAGGTCGTTGTAGGTAAGCGCCTTCACACCCAGCTAGGGACACGGGGAATGCACAGCACAAGTGAGGCTCATGTCACAGGGACAAAGCCCACAGCAACCCCAGGGGCCCCAGAGTGTCTTCCTGGGGTGAGGGGAGGGTGAAGCTTTCCCTAGGTGATAAAGGAGAGGGGACAGCAGGGACCAGAGGGCAGCAGAGGGAGCCCCAAGGATGCAGCCAGAAACACCTTAGCCATGTAGCCCAGGGCCCGAAGAATTATTCAAGGTGGGGACTCTCAAAGACAGAGCAACCAACAGGACGGGTACCCTGCCCGCTCCCAGGGTCATGCCAGAGATCAGGGGGCAAAGAGTCCCAGGGCGGCCAGCACAGCTTCCGGGCCACTACCTCGTCCAGTTTCTGCTGGAACAGCCTGCGGATCTCCTCCTTCTGGGTCTGGCAGTGTCCAAAGAGCTGCTGCACCGTGCCCAACAACTGTGCATTCCGCTCCTGCAAGAGGAGGGCAGGTGACATGGGAACCAGCATGGGGCTACAATCCCTGAGCCCAGTGGCCAAGGCCACACGCACCTTCTCCTGGTCCAGCAGCTGCTGCAGGTTGGCCTTGTACTGTGGTGTCTTCGTGTATGCCAGGAACTGTAGGTACTGGATCTTAAAGGACTCTAGAGAGAAAGGACATGGCTGTGGGAGCTGGACATGCGGGGGTTGGGTACTGGACATCGCCCAGAGACAGCCTCGGGCTGTGGGTGGTGCCTGCACAGTGCACAACAGGGACTCTGCATGGTGCAGTGCCGGGCAGCACCCTTGCCATCTACCTGACCCCAACAGAAACACCCCAACCTGACAAACACACGTGGTAGACACTGCCCACGAGTCCCTGAGGTGACACCCAGTCAGGAACGCCATAGGTCCTCCACGAGAGTCCCTGCCAGCCAGCCCTGTGGGCCTGACCCCACCCCTGCCTCTCAGGGGGCTCACCAGGAGCCCCCAGCTATGGCCCAAAGAACCCACACCCCCAGTCCCGAGGCCGGTGCCCTCGGGTGAGCCTCACCGAGCAGCTTCTGCAGTGCGGGCGGGGTGGGCGCCACCAGCAGCGGGTTGGGGCCGTGCCGGGGCACACTTGGAGGTAGCTGGTAGAACGGGCTGTGAGGGGACCGGTATGCATCTGTGGGCAAGAGCAGCGTCCCCGTCAGCCCTGCCACTCTGTAGCCCACGCGTCGTGGTGGGCAACAGCGTGGCCCCAGTCCAGAGGACCCGCTGAACACCACGGCCTGTGGTCCTGCCCACTCCCTGCCCCCAGGACCCCAGAAACCTCCACTGGTGACACCACTTCTATCGCTGTCTTTTCTGGGGGATGAAAAGCAGAGTCTTCACACCCAGCAACACCCCAACACCTCCAGCCTTTATCTCAACACACTTGGCGCCAAGTTGCCCAGGCTGGGTTTGCACATGTGACCTCCTGCCGCAGCTTCCCAGGGGTCCCGGGACACAGGCGTGCCCCTGTACACCCAGCCCTGCCTTAGTGTTTGTCACGAGCTCTCCCCTGGCAAACAGGCGAGGACCAAGCCCCCAACGCTGTGCCGCGAGCCTGGAGGCCGAGGCTGGTGCAGGACAGTGCCCCCACATGACTCAGGGTGGCCTGAGGCCGCTCACCCTGGGGCGAGGAGGACGCAGTCTGGGACACGGTCTGGGAGTGGAGGAGATCCAGTGCAGTTTGATTCTTCTTGGGCTTACGCTCAGGGTTCGCAGCGTTCATCTTCTTGGGGCGCCCACGCTTCCGTCCAGCCATCTTCCGGCCCTTCTTGTTCAGCTTCTTCTTCCGGGCCTTGGAGGGCGAAGGCTTTTTGACTGTGGTCACCCCTGTCTTCTCTTCCTCAGCACCAGAATCCTGGCGGACCAAGAGGGAAACAGCGGGTGGGTCCCGTGCACCCCTGTGCAGAGCAGAATGGGGCGCAGCGCCCCCCAGGACTCCAGGCCCCACCCTGGGCGCCCGTGGCCAGGCCTTACCATGGGGGCCTCGGCGGGGACGGCTGCCTTGCTCTCGGGGACCTTGGTCGGGGTGGTCGCATTACTCTTGTTCTCTCGCTGCTGTCGGCGCCGAGCAGCTTCTTGTTCTTCCTGCAAAGAGTCCAACAAGGGTCCTGATGGCCCTGGCACTACCCACGCCAACTCCTCCATCCAGACCCAGACGGGAACACTGAGGCACCAAGGCCGAATGGCAGATCTCACAGGCCACTCACTGCCGCGCAGAGGGATGCAGGCCAGGGCCACTGACTGAGCAGGGAGAAAGGGAACAGCTGGACAGAGGGAACCAGATGCCCAGAAGAGGTCCAGCAACGCTGCCCTGCAGCAGGGAGGCCAGGGGCCCCAGGGCCAGGCTGGGCCTCAAAATGCCCTGGAGAGTCCCAGGTATGTCCTGCACACACAGGAAGGACATGGCTGGAGGGCCAGAAGCAAGCTAGGCAGCGCATTCCCTTCGTCCAGGGAACCAGGGCTAGAGCCAGCCAGCCCTGCTCGGGTTTCCAGCTCTCCAAAGGGCCCAGAGACCGAGCTCCTGGGGGAGGCTCGTGGCTGAGAGCGGACCCAGGCCAGCTCACCCGCCCTGGAGGCTCGGCACCTCCTGGAAGTTCCCCGGGACTGAAGCAAGGAGAAAGGAAACAGACTTACCCTGAGTTTTGGGTTTTTCAGACTAGAAAAATAATTTTCAAGCTAAAAAGAAATGAAAAACATGATTAGAAGTGAATCAGACTCTGCCAAGATGATGGTGACAGCCCAGACGGATGGGTCTGTAAGCCGCACCCATACCTGGGGACTTCGAGTACCAGCAACCACCAGCAGAGGTGACCTGGGAGTGGGATGGCCCCTTAAGCCCCAGGGAGGGCAGGCATCGCTGGTTCCCAAATGATGACAGCTGGGGACACAGCCTCCCCCAGGCAACCCGGGACCCCTGCTGGGCCGCACGGCCAAGGAGGCAGAGCAGCAAAGGTGGCTGCCGGCCTGCAGCCCAGCTCGGCTGCCGCATGTCACTCACGGGCTGGGTCTCGGGGGAGCAGTGTCCTGCACCCTTGGGCAGGCAGCGGAGAGGTCCCAGGCCAGCTGGGCCACAACAGGGTACATGGGAAGACAGCCCCAGCCCCAGAGCACTGCGTCATGCAGAGCTGGGAACAGACAGTGGAGGGAGACACTGCAGCTCAGGTGACAAGGCATACCCATCACCCTCACACCCATTTAGGAAAACGAGCACCTGCCAGCACCCAGTGTTATCAGGGGGCCGTGGTACAGGCCTGGCTGCCACCGCAGGGAGGGGGCAGGGGGCACAGCAGCCTGCGGACGCAGTGACGGTCGGCACACTCACTATGGTTCGATCAATAGTGTGCAGGTAATAGGAGACTGGCTTCCCCGTCCACGACACGGAGCCCTTCAGGGGGGACAGCTCCACCACGCGCATGATGGTGCCGATGTCTGAGGGGGACAAGGACAGGTCAGGGCCATCGCTGCGCCCTTAGCTGCCAGGACCTGACCCCAAAAGCCCTGCCAGCTAGGGAGACAGACCCTGAGTTACGGCCACCATTCTTCATCTCCACCCACCATGCCGAGTGGTCTGTGGCATCCTGAGGCCTGACCCCGTCCCTGGGCCACAGAGGCAGGGACACCATGTGACTGGCGGGGCTTATCAGGAGAGGCCACACGTCCAACAGAGCAGAAAGGCGTGCCGAGTGACTGGAGACACCCAGACCGCTGTCACGGGGACACCAGAGATCACACAGGCAAGAGGAGGAACCAAGACCTTTAACCTAGTGACACAAGCGCTCATTACCGCTCAGGTTTCTGCTGTTTATCCTGAAGTTCAGAGGCGCAAAGGGCTTTGAGGACACAATTCTCCCACCTGGAACACAGAAACCGGTTACTGGGGGGACAGACACACGCACAGACGCAACAGGGAGAGATGCGGCAAGAGTTACCAAGGAGAATAAGTGCTCCGCGTGAACATCGGGCCTGATCCCCGTTTCCTTATGAGGGAAGGAAACGCCTTAGCTGCCAGTGCCAACCCGTATAGGTAACTCCTTGAAAATGTGCCCAAACCGAGGGTGCCGAGGCCCCGCGGTGATCCTGGCACTCTGGGGGGCTACGGCAGGAGGACTGAAGTTTAAGCACAAGCAAGACAACTTAGTGATTTAAGGAGACCCAGTCTCGAAATAAAAAAGAACAATCAGAGCTGGAGACGTAGCCCAGTGCAATGGCCCTAGGTTCCATCCCTGGTACAGCAAGGTAAATAAAAGGAAAGTTTTCAGGTTTGGTACAATCTCACTGGAGCTGACCTCTGACCCCACAACGATGAAGGAAGCACAACTGACCCTCAGAGGCACCGTCTCAGACGGCAGTGACCTGGCTGCGCGGTGCGTTGCTACCCGAGTGCTTGGGGAAAGGGTCCTGGGGGACTCAGGACCACAACATGGTCAGGGAGACACCACCACAAGGCAGCGAGGCTGCTGCCACGGACAGCAGTGCTGGGGCTCACTGGGACACGAGGCAAAGCAGGGCCATCCGCGTGCGTGCGGTGAGTCTGTAATAACCCACTGCAGGGCCGAGGGTGCAGTACCTCGACTGCCTAGCACAGGGGAGGCTCACGGTTCCACCCATCACGCGTGTGCGCACCCGTCACATGCTGTGGCCCAGGGACGGGGTCAGGCACGGCAGTGCGTGACTGTAGTCCTAGTACCAAGGCGCTAAGGCAGGAGGATCCCCAGCCTGGGAAAGGTAGGCGTTCAAAGCCAGCCTGCAGTATACACCAAGACCGTGCCCCAAACTCCAACCCGACCAAGTCACTCTGCAGAGCAGGCCGGGCGTGCTGGAGCGGCTCAGGCGCGGCAAAGCAAGGGAAATGAAAAGGAAGCGCGCTGCCTTCCACCCCAGGCCGCGGGCTGGAGAGCCGCCAGGACCAGCAGGCCAGCGCAGAGCTTCTTCCCAGTCGCCCTCACAGCCGTGTACTGCGCTGCTGCTTTACCAAATTCCAAGCGCGAACGCACCAGAAACCTCACGAGGCGCTCAGTTTATCGTCAAACACTGGCATTACCGATGCCACCTAACCACGAGGCTACTGTGTGCACGTTAGGGCATTATACACACCGTGCGTTCGTACTAAGAACAGACATGTCAGGTGTTTACTAAGCACAACACATACTAACGCTCTCAAGAAACTAGCCTTTTATTGTAAGAATAAAGAAAAATTAAAATTCAAGAAGAACCATACACAGTGACAAAAGCCTGGAATCCCACTACTCGGGAGGCAGAGGCTGAGGCAGGATGATAACACTGAGCTCAAGGCCACGCTGCGCGACACAGTGAGCCCACAGCCAGCCTGCACTATACAGTGAGTCCATCGTCTCAAAACAAGAGACTGAGCAGAGGCTGAGGCAGGAGGGCTGCAAGTTCCTGCCCAGCACGGGAGGCTTTGTGAGCCGAGAGACCCTGTCTCAAAACATGAATCACAGAGCCAGGGGACGTCCTTCAGTGTGGAGGCTGTGGGCTCCTCCCCCAGTACTGAAGAAATCTGCAAAGTCAGAAAAGGCCCGGCCACTCCCGCCACACATGCCCGCACTCTGGGCCCTCGGTGCAAGGGCTGGGCTGGGGCAGCACGGCCGAGCCCAGGTCCCTGCCGGGCGGGAGGGCAGGCCCTACAGACCATGAGCGCAGCACGCCTCATCTGAGCACCACAGAGGGCGGGACTCTGTGGCGACCTCCCTTTTGCCTGAACCCGTGTGACCAGGAGGAGCGTGGCCGTCCTGCCCCACCGCAGTGGCACCAAGCCTGGCTCTCCTGACAAGAGGCCACCCAGCACCCAGGAACCCGCGCAGGACAGGCCGCGGCGCAAGGAGAGAAATCCGGGACGCCAGCGACCTCAGGACACAGCCCACTGTACAAAGCGACCATTAGGACACAGCTATCAGCACTGGGCACAGTGCAGGTCGAGGCTCTGGGGCCCACCCACGTGCAAAAACCGAAACTCCAGAAACAGAAAACAGAGGAGACACAGAAAGCCAGTCAGCAGCACCGCACAGGAACACTGGCAGGAAACCTGGGGACACGGGCGGCGGGCAACAGAAAGCAGACCGTGGACTGCAGAGGACGACAGTGCCCACGAGGGCACTCAGGCCCACAGGAGGGACCCAGAGGCTTCTTGGGGGACATGTGCTGCCCGCCACTGATGGCTCTAAAGTAACCTGGGCAGCTTCCTTCCTTCCACGCGTGCTCAGGTCCATGCTGCCCAGACAGCTGGGGGCCTGTTTTACGCGGCCTGCCTGACATCTTGCGACAGAGCTGCAGGCTGTCCCCACCCCATCTGCTTTCTGGCACCTGAGGAAGGAGCAGACCCAGAAGACCTGTCCCCGACAGCCCGGCCGGGGCGGGGCACCGAGGAGCCGTAGCTGCAGGGGAAGCAGCCACCCCGCCAAGGCCACTCCGCCCGTGGCCTGCCTGGCCAGGGGAAGGGGCTCTGAGGGGGTCAGGTGGGCAGGCCACGGCTGGGCACTGGGGATCTAAAGCCACAGATAGCAGAACACAGGCCAGGGACACTGCATTACCTTCCTTCATATTCGCAAAGCGCTCCTTCAGCTGGTGATCCACCTCAGGACCAAAGGCAAAGTTATTCACAAATATAACACTGCAAAACAATGTTCCAGCTCAGTGAGGCCAAGCGCCACATGATGTGAGTGCAGAGTCCCAGCGTGGACAGCGTGCTGCCGCCGCCACTGCCAGGCACTGCCCACACGCACCCCGGGACAGTCTGCGGGACCGGGCCATGGGGAGACGCTGCTGCGCCCTGCTGGACGGGCCAGGGTTAGACCCATGCCTGCATGACCCAGGGTGGCCAGAGATGTTCCCTGGCAGCCCACGAAAAGCAGAGTGGACAAGCATAGCGAGGACAGTTACGCTGCCAATGGCAGCCCCCCGGAGACCAGGTTGGAGCTCTGGGGCAGAACAGGCACATGGTGAAGTTTTACGCCCCAGAAGACGTGCACTGGGCCTGTGCCACAGCCCATGACGGGACAGCCGGGCCCGCAGGGGAGCATGAGCGGGGCCAGCAGGCGAGGGGCACGGAGGGGTGGAGCCTGGGGTCCCAGCCGGCCAGCGGCACAGCCCGCAGCCGTACCTCGTGTTGGCGATCCGTTCTCTCCACTCCTCCGACAGGAAATCACCCCGCTCCAGCTGAGGAAGAAAACACGGGGACACTTACTACGGCGACCCTGCTGCGCCGCTGCGGAAAGAACATGAGATGAGCGGAGTCGTGAGACGGAAGGAGCCAACCGGCCTGCTGCAGGCACTCGGGGCGGGCCCGGAGAGCGGGGCACACACGCACGCCACAGGACACCCTCATGTCCAGGGTGTGACCCCACGCAGGCCCTCAGGGAGCTCCCCACAGAGGGTGCCTGTACCCAGGAGCAGCATGGCACGGGCACCCCGTCCTCAGACGCTGCCCCCAGAACCCTGGGCAGCACAGTGCAGCTGTTGCCATGTGGGGCTGGGCAGGCCCTACCTGACACCCCCTCACCCAGCCCGAGTCTGCAGCAGAAGCCCCAGCAAGCCGTGCCCTGCTGCCGGCTGCTCCTGTCGCCTCCTCCTGCAGCCAGGCCAGGGCAGAGAGTAGAGGCCAGGGGCTGTGCAAGCAGAGGGCCACGGGGCCAAGCCACGGGGATGGGGCCAGTGTGGTGACACTCAGCAACAGGCCTCTCCCGCTGGCCCCTGCAGGAGGGCCGCTCAGTGAGACCCTGGCCCAAAACCAAAGGGCTGGGACGTGCCCTGCATGGCCCACCTGAGCCCAGCCTGGGCAGCAAAGAGGCCTGGCCTGCTGACCCCTCTCCAGTGAGGTGACTGCAGAGGCTCCCCTCCACCTGGGACAGTGGCAACACGGCCACCGCGGCCTCTATGGCATGGCCGTCCTGCAGGCGCCCGAGCAGCCCATACGCTGCGTGGCCTGGCAGAGCCCACAGGTCCTCTCCTGTCTCTTTCTTTCATCTGTTTCTTTTCCTTTTTTTTTTTGAGACACAGTCTTACTAAGTTGCCCAGGCTGATCTCAAACTTGAGACCTTCTTGCCTCAGCCTTTGAGGGCTGTGGAGAACGAAGTTTCTCACCAGGCCAGGAAGCCTGAGGTGCCTGCACCGACAGACGAGCCCCGGCCCCTTCCTGCGGGCCACACGGCTGCCCCTGCAGCGGAGGGCGCCCTGCCCTGCTCTGGGCAGTGGTCCCCCCACCACGGGGGCAGATCTCAGCCAGGGCGGGAGGCGCCCCCTGGAGGCGGACATAGCACTCATGTGGGAGGGGACACAGGTGGGGTGGCTCAGCACTGGAGCTCTCGCTCCGCGTGTACCAGGCCCTGGGTCTGAGCCTCAGTGCCACCAAGAAGAAAAAAAGCCACTCCTGAGAACCCGGCACAGCGACAGCCACAGGAGGGAGCAGGTCCGCATGCCTCGAAGCGAGGCGGGAGCCCTGGCCGCAGACACAGCTGTGGGCTGGGAGAGTGCACTGGGCTATTTTTAGGCTGCTGGCTTTTTTCCTCTTCCCCGAGTAACGGAAGACAGGACTCGGAGCTTGCCAACCAGGGCGCGGAGTCAAAGCCACAAAGCTGCTCAGAAGCTTGTTCAAAGAGCAGGACACTGGGAGCCGCCAAAACGAGGCGTTAAGACAGCCAGGCAAATGCTGGCGTGGCGGCACAGCCTGTGATCCCAGCCCTGGGAGGCGAAGGCAGGAGGACGCCGGTGGACTCGAGGCCGGTGTGGGCTACACACTGAGCGCAAGGCCAGCCCGGACTTCGTTCCGTCTCAAACACCCCCCCACCCCCCCAAACACACCAAGCAGCCCGGGCAGCGGCGCAGGCCTGTCATCTCAGCCCTCAGGAGGCTGAGGCAGGAGAGTCACAGGTTCCAGCCCTGCAAGGGCAATCCCGCAAGTTAAGGAGAGCCCACCTCAGATCGAAAGAAGAGCTGGGCCCGCAGCTCAGCGGCGCAGCACCCCGTCCACCGCAGTGCTGCAGGGTGCAGAGCAGGCGCGCTGCGGCTCCCAGCCTGCCTGGGGACAGCCAGCAGTCACAGGGGACGGTGCTGGAAACGAGGGCGGGTGCCGTAGGTGGGGGCAGCACACACACCCACCCTCGGCCCTCGGCCCGGCGCAGCGGCCGCCCCAAGCCTGTGGTGAGCAGCAGCGCCATCTCAGGGTTCAGCTCACAGCCAAAGGCAGACGCCGACCGCACAAGGGAGCGTCCCAGACCCCAAGGCCCTGCGACAGCTCCAGCTCCAGCGCATCACCGCCCCACACCCTTCCAGGCCAGCCGTCCACCAGGGAGGACAAGATGAGGACAGGGACAGAGATGTGCCCAGGGCCCTGTCTTCACCCCTGCCTCAGGCAGGGCGGGCAACAGAACGCAGGGGCCACTTGGGCCTGAGCAGGTTCCCGCTGGGATCGGGGCCCTGAGGAACATGTGTTGTCGCCACCCTGGGAAGCGACCCGCCTCTCCAGGTGTGGGGTCCTGGAGTTTAACAGGGTGCACTCCGGGGGGCAGCGTCACCGGTCCCACTAGCACGCCATGAGGCTGAGGCAGGAGGATTGCAACTCTGAGCCTACACTGGACAACTGAAGTGACCGGGTGAGACGAGTCCCAACAGATAAGCAAGGGCCGGGACGCAGCTCCGTACAAGGCCCTGCTTAATCCCCAGTGGGACCAGAACACAGTGAGAGGCAGGAAGAAAGGCCAAGTGGGCCAGGGCCACCTTCTGGGACCCGTGCACCCACCCGGGACACTCGGCAGGAGCAGAGGAAGAACTCCTCCGTCCCCAGGCCTCCACCACCCAGCATCAAAAGCCAGCCAGTGTGGCCCATGCCCAGGCAGAGGCCCCTGAGGCTGTGTGGCCGCTCCATGTCCAGGCACGGCTCAGCGGCCCACGGCTCCACTGCCCACAGGCATGGGGCCCAGGCGCCAGCAGCAAACAATAAAACAGAAACCAACATCTGAAAGCATCCACTCAGCTACCACACGCACGAGGGCCGGGAGGGGACAGCTCAGCTCTCCCAGGGAGGGCACCCCACCGAGGCAGGCCCTGCGCAGGCCAGTGGGGAGGGCCGTGAGTGCCCCAGGTGGGAAGGATGGAGGGAGACTCGGCCTCCACTCGGTGGCCCCAATAGTAAATGTCCCTCCCTACCACTGCCTCAGGTCCCTGAGCATGCCCTGGAGGACAGAAGGACCTAGGCCAGAGAGGCTGGTGAGCTCAAGGCTCCAGCCGGGCCAGAGACCAGGGGCGGGGCACCATGGCGCCCACTTGGCAAGAGGGGGGAGGTCAGGAGAGGTGGGGCTGGGGCCGGGCTGGGGTCGTAGCCACAGGGCATGGAGCGATGGCACTCACTGTGTATTCTGCATGCTTTTTTCCATACCATTTCATCCACTTCCTGAACTCTCGGTCCATGGTCTGGAAGGGAAAGAGGTCACACAGCCCATCAAAACCAGGCAGCCCGGAGGCCCCCAGCAAGCCCACATGTCTGCAAGGCTGCAGCTCCCAGTGGTCCTTTCTGTCCTAGCCAGGTCGCCGGGATCAGGACCTCAGTTTCCACAGCCCAGCCCCACAACATCCCTGGATGGGGCAGCAATCCAGGGCCCCAACCTCCAGCACCCAGAGGCCACAGGCCGACATGCCATTCACACGCCCATTCCCCAAGCCCCACTGCTCCCCAGCCCGGGCCCCAGCAGAGCCTACACCTCCACCAGGAAGAGGGGACAACCGAGGGAAGAGGACAGCATGCCGGGCTCAGCGGACAAGCTCAGCACCACCCACGTCAGGAGGGCGAGGGCAACAGCAGGGCGATGGGGGCACAGAGGCCCTGCCAGCCTCGCCGCTCCCAGAAGGTGTCTTGCATCACAACACGCATGCACCCTTCATTTAGATGAAACTCCTAGGCCGGCAAGGACGCCGCAATGATGGGCAGCCGTGTGGTGCCCACGACGCAGGCGCCCGGCTCACCTCTTGACGCTCGTCCCGCACGCCCAACCCAGGACCACGCACCTCGGCGTACTTGGCTGGGATGTCCGCTTTCTCGACTCCGTAGTGGTGCTTGCAGTTGGTGGCAGCAGCGACCTGGAGGACCACCTGGCCTACACCTTCGATCAGAGAGAGCTGTGTCAGAGGTCTCGGAGCTTTGGGACAATGCTCAGCACCCAAGGACACTGCCACATGTACACCACCAGAGGGCACACGGGCCATGCCCAATGCCCATGACATCAGCAGATATAGGGCAAGGGACTGCTCAAAGACCGCGACACCCTCCGAGGTCACTGAGGACACTTCTGCTATGCCGCCCCACCCAGAGGACCCAGCAGGGAACACACACCTCCACTCACCCTCAACCACACCAGCTGTCCCTGGCCCCCAGAGTTATGCACAGGGTAGTGTCCCCACTGAGCCACCGAGAGGTGGTGGTGCCCGAGTGGCCTCCTGCCCAGACCCCTGCAGGCTCCACTATAGCAAACAGGCCTGGAACGCAGGAAGTGGTGATGCGGGGGCTCAGGATCCCCCAGCCAGTGCTGAGGGGCCCTGTGGAGGTGACTTGGCCCTCACAGACAGGAGCAGCCCCTGATAAAGGGGCAGAGGGAGTAAGCAAGGCCCCCTGCCCTGCCACTCCCAACCTGTGAGGCAGAACAGCAAAGCCACCCAAGGCAAGGGGGGCAAAGGCCGAGCTTTGCACAGGGATGTGAGTGGCCAGGCCGACTGAGTTCCCTCCCGCACAGGGAGGTCCCAACAAGGCCAACAACAGAATCGCCTGGCAGAGGACAGGAGGAGCCCCATAAGCCAAGGCCTGCTGGCGGGGGGTCATGGGTCACAGGGCACAGAGCCCCAGGGCGTGACAGAGCTGGGGTGGTGGCTGGAGCCTCCCTGAGCTGCTGCCCCACCTCAGCACACCCATCCACACAGACAAGGGGCGCGGCCAGGATGCCAGCAAGCCCCTCGTGGAGACCCACCACTGCCCAGGTCCACGAACAGGTCATCCTCCGTCATCTTGATCTCGTCGATCATCTGGGCCACTAGGTCGAAGGAGGTCTCCCCATACACCTCGGGGGAGAAGGGTTCGTAGTTGTTGAGCTTCTCAGGGTCGGTCACTGAGTGGTTATAGACCTGCTGCAGGATGTGCCGCAGGAGCCCGTTGGATGGCCGCGTGTTCAGCTTCATGGGCTGGGTAGTCCCTTTCCACTGGGGACAGACACACAACGCACACGTCACCCACACGTGGGCGGCTGGCTGTGCCCCTCACCTAGTTACTTTCCCAGTTAGACACAGCAGGGCCCAGGCGCCGCTCTGTGAGGGTCTGCCCGGCACTCGTGGAGCACTGGGCCCGGCCCCACAGCCTCAAGGACAGCATCAGTGTGTGCAGGTGCAGGTGCATGTGCAAGTGCACCCCGGGTTGGGCACACACCAACTCTGCTCGGCTCTGCCCTGCGGGGAGCCGGGGAGCTCAGCTTGGGCTACCCTCGCTCAACAGCCTGCTCAGGCCCCTGGCACCCAGGCTGCTTTCCCAGGCCGAAGTTGGCAGGGCTCAGCCCACAGCCACCCGGCTCTCAACCCGCTGGATCCCCCAGGACAGGACAGGACAGGACAGGACAGTACAGCTGGCGGCCTCTCCTACTCCAGAGCTCTGACTTAGAAAGGCCACCCGGGGGAGGAAGCCAGCTGCCAGCCGGGATGTGCCAGCCACTTCCCAGCCCTGGCCTCGGGCCTGTGCTCAGCTGTCTGTCACCCCAGGTGCCGGCTGTCCAAGTCACCCCAAGTGCCAGTCCTGGCCCTGGGTGTCACTGTGAGGATCTGCTCCCTGACTCCTGTGACTAGAGGTGAGGGTCTGCCCTCTGTGGCGCTGGCTGCCTGCCCACACTGCCACACCCTTGGCCACAGGGCACTGGGGCAGTGTGGGGCGGCAGTGGGGTCTCCCAGAACAGGACCACAGCTGAGGGGGAAGGAGCGGGCTTGCTGGGCCCTGGTGGGGCCGAGTGCCAGTGCCCGGAGCCACATGAAGGGCCCTGCCAACACCCACACAGGCCGGCTACCCACTGAGTGCCCCATGGAACTGCGTGTGGCACACGATCGCCCAGGCACGGGCAGGCAGCCACAGGAGACTCAGCACCGCCATCTCAGAGGGAGCCTTGAGACCGCACCGTACCCCCACCTGTCCCCATGGACCCCACTCGGCAGCTGCACGTCCCCACCAGGGCCAGGCACCAGTGTGTTCTCTATGCAGCACCCCCAGGGCGCCAGGGTGACCAGGACACACGAAGAGAGCTGCAGGCTGTCTGGAAGGCAGGGGTGGCCTTCGCAGCTTGGGAGCTGCCTCTGCCCAAAACTCTGCCCTGTCTGAGGGGAAGGGGGCAAACATGACAACTCTCAGCTACTCTGGAAAACAAACAGAAGCCAGCTGGGTCCTGACAGTGCTGCTGCCAGGCCCCTACACGGACACTGGTCCTCACACCAGGCCATAACACCCGAGCCCTACTGTGTAACTTGTCTTCGGGTCCGGAACCTGACTTCAAACAGCCACTGGAAGGAACGGGATAGGTGGGGGCAGTGAGGCCACCTACCAGCTGGTGGATGCTGTCGATGGCCCGGTTGTACTTGTCACACAGCCTCTGCATGCTCTCGAAGCTGGAACAGGCAAGAGAGAGGTGCTGTCCCAGAGCCATGCTACTGCCACTGGCGGGACCCGCGACCTCAGGAAAGAGCGGCCAGGACCTCCTAAGGCCCACCTCCAGCACCAGGAACTACACAGGGGCCCCCAGCCAGGGCCAGGGCCATTCTCAGGCCTTGCACAGGGGCAGGGCAACCAGGTCAGATCCCCGTGAGGAGCTCCAGGCCAAGGTCAGCACACAGGTGGCCAGGCCTGACCAGGAGTCCTGGCCAGGAGACTGAGAGGGCTGCCTGGGCCACTCTGGGTCCAGGGCTCCAACCCAAGGTCAACACACAGAAGCAGCGTGAGTAGAGACAGGAGTCTGCCCAGGACCAGGCCCTCACTGCCTGGCTGGCAAGAACAGAAATGCACCAGGGCGGCCTTGGGCAGCCTCGGAGTCACCCTTGCCCCAGCTGGGTCCAGCCAGTGTCCCCTGCAGTGCTCCATGCGGGTGTACCAGGGCCATGGGGCACAGGGTGAAGCTATGGCTGGCTCCAAGGACCCCAGCTCTGTGGGAGGGGCAGCTCCCCCTGCCCACTCGGCGTCACCTCTGTGGAAGAAACTGCTGAGGCTCCCGGGGTGCTCAGAGACAAAAATGCAATCACAGACTGTCCCCCACAGTCACTACCCCCCTGCACCCCACAGGTGCAGGGGCCTCTGTTTTTACCGCACCGGGGGCTGAGCCCAGCACCTTTACACTGGGCTCCATCTCTAGTCCTTTTTAGATTTTCTTTTTAAATTTTGAGACAGGGTCCCACGAAGCTACCCAGGCTGGGCTGGAAGATGCGAACCTTCTGCTTCTGCCTCAGCCTCCCAGGATGCCACCACGTAGCCCTTCCTGCAAGGACCTGTGGTGTCCCCTACAGGTCTGCTGGCAGAGCCGGGTCAGCCATGGGCACTTCCCCAGAGGGCCCAGGATGGCGCCAATGCCCACAGTGCCAAGGAAGCCCGGCTGCAGGGTCAGAGCCCTGCCAGGGAGCGAGGCCTTCCCTTTCACTTTCAGAGGCAGGGTTTCACTATGGAGCTCAGGCTGGCCTTGAGCTTGCTGCCGTCTTCCTGCCTCCCAGGTCCCTTGGTCACAGGTGTGCAACGCAGCCAGCCTGTGTGCTGCAAGGCGAAGCCACCATAAGGCCCCCCAACAACAGTCAGGAGCCTGCTGTTGTGTGCACACCGGGTACAGGGCGCTGCCACAACTCAATGCCACAAGAACAGAAGTTCCCTGACCTCCACACGCCACCCCACCCCGCCATCTGGGTCCTTATCACACTCCTTGGAAGAAACCAGTGCCCTATAGCCACTCCCCAAGAGGTGGCGTATCTCACTCGGCCCTGCAGTGCCGGGTGCCCCTTGCCCTTGGCACCACTCTCATAGGAGGGACACCTGTGCGGGGCGTGGCAGGGAGGGCAGGGCATTGCTCGGAGCGCAGCGAGCCCTCCAAACCTAACAGTGAGGTCCCTGCGTGAGGCGCCAGGCTTGGGCCCTGTGGAGGGTGAGCCTGGAGCGCTCAGAGCAGGGCAGTCAGCACAGCCCTGCAGAGAGTTGTGAATCTGGCCACCATGCTTTCCACCACACAACAAACCCTCCGCAGGCATTCATTCCTGAGAGGCCGGGCCCTCCACCCACTCCCTGGGAGGAAAGCTCGAGCAGCCTCGAGGGCAGGCGAGGGCGGGCGGGAGCTGCTGAGGCCAGCAGGGGTGGCTTGGGTGGAGGGGCTGACATCTGGCAGCCACGCCAGCTATAAAAAGAGCTGCTGTTTACGCCGCTGCGTAATTCCACACACACCAATCCAGGTTTCAGCCTGAGGAGTCCCAGCTCTGCCCTCACACTGCCAGCCCTCGCCAAGGCCAAGGCGAGACAGACATTTCCAAGCAAGGTCAGCACACAGCCCCCAGCTCTTCGAGGAAACCCCGCAGCCGCCGTCGGGGAACCCTTGTCCTGGGTGGGGCTGCTTACCTTTTGGTATCATAGTCAATCAAGACGTAATTCTCCATGGCCAGCTTGAGATCTGGGATCTCCTCACAGACCCACCTGGAACAGAAAAGCAGAAACCCCGGGCCACCATCAGCAGGCCTGGCTTTTTTTTTTGTTTATCTTTTTTACAGGCCTCAAACTCAACTCTCCTGACTCTAAACTGACAAAACAAAACTTTCACTGCGTGGTGGTGTGCACCTGTCGGCCCAGCACGATGTGAGGCTAAGGCAGGAGGATCACAAGTTTGAGGTCGGCCCAGGCAATTTAGCAGCTCAGCAAGACTGTCTCAAAAAATAAAAATAAAGCCAGGCCTGGTGGCACACTGCTGTCCTCCCAGCACTCGGGAGGCTGAGGCAGGAGGATCCCTGCGAGTTACAGAGACCAGTCTGGGCTACACAGTGAGCTCAAGGCCAGCCTGAACTGCATAGTGAGACCCGGTCTCAAAAAGACAAAAATAGTAAGCACCTGCCTGGCAGGCGCAGGGTCTTGAGTTTAATCCCTGGTACCCCCCCTAAAAAGACGAAATAAAATGTGAAAGAGAGAAGGAAGCATTATGGTACAACAAACGCCATAAAGTTGGCAGTGGGTTGCTGCACATCACATAGATTTGATGGGCTTTTGGCCCACCAGTGCTGGCCCTGGAAGGAAACTGAACGCCCATATCACTGCCACAGCAAAGCACTCAGGCCAGGATGTAGCCCAGCACTAGGGCACTGTCTACCTGCAAGGCTTTCTGCCCAATCCCCAGCACTGCAAAACAAACACAACAAGCAGTAAAAAGTGTCATGCCAGGAATGGCGGCGCACATGGGTAATCTTGTGCTCAGGAGGTTGAAGCTGGTGAATCCAAAGCTCCAGCCCAGCCCAGGCAATTTAGCAAGGCTTTGAGTCAATAAATAAAAAAGTGCATGCACTTTTGAGGCTGAGGCAGGAAGATCTCAAGTTTGAGCCCAGCCTAAGCAACTTAGTGACTTAATGGGACCCTATCTCAAAATAATTTTAAAAAAAAGAGCGGGGGGAGGGGATTGGGACTGCAGCTCAGTCCCGGAGGACTGCTAGCATTCACAGGGCCTTAGACTCTGTCCCCAGGCCCACTATGTAAGTAAGAAAGAGGAGGACACTGCTGAGAGACTGAGCCACAGGCCCTGTGATGAGGACACAGCCACTGTAAGATGACGGCACGATGACCCTTCCTAGAGAGAGAAGGGCCAGAGAGGCCAAGCTGGGGGAGCGTGGCTGGTGAGGTCGAGGGGAGCACAGAGCATCCTGACACTGGCAGCGAATGGGTTCCGGGGCATGCTCAGAGCCCTTGGTGCTGTCCTTCTGCGCTCCTCCCTCCCGGCAGCACTCTGGGAACCCCAGGAAACTGAGGGACCCAGAAAACCAGTCCTACACACAAGGGTCACCAAGTGCAGGTGGTTTACAAGACGTCGTGGGCCTGTAGCTCAGGGCTGGCACAGGCACAGAGGTTAAAGCAGCTCGGGACTCTCCACAGGCACCCTGACCTGAGAGGGGGTCCCAGACCCCACCTCCCGCTCCCAGCACAGGGCAGCCCCCCATAAGCTCCACCCCCGCCCACAGGTACACTGGGGCCTCAGCCCCCAGATCCCCATCTACTGCCAGTGGAGAAGTGGGTGACCACCAGCTGGACAGGCCCTGTCTCACTGGATCCTGGAAAGCCACGCCCGAGTCCACTTCCTGCAGCGGGCTCCAAGGAAGGCACAGTCTTCCTATTCCCAGGCAAATCCCTGAGTTTGCTTATTTTTTTGGTACCAGGGATCAAGCTGACGACCTCATACTTGCCAGGCAGGTGCTTATACCACTGAGCTAAATCTGCAGCCCACAGGTCCACTGCCTTCTCCAGGGCATTTATTCAACAAACACTGGGGACGCTGAGAACAGACTGAGGGGACTGTGACAAGAGCAAGGGCACACGTGTGACAAGCCAGCTACCCCCATGTGCACTGTCCCCTGGGCTCCGGCCTGGAGCTCCTGCAGCTGTGTCCACCCACACCAAGGCAGTGGCCCCGCACTCACCGGATGGTCTCGATGATTTCGTGAGCAGCATCGTGGTGTTTGTCCTGAAAAGCAAGGGCGGCAGCTCTGACACTGGGCCTCTGTCCACCCCGGCCATGGAGGGGCGGCACTTTCCTCCCAAGGGGCCCTATGATGGCCTTCCCTTCCCGACTGATCGGCTCCCAGCCACCCCATGGGACCCGAAAGCCTCTGTGGCCCTGGTGCTTCCCGAGCCGCGGCCTGGCTGTTCTTTGTGCCCCTACGTGGGTCTGACATGCGGCTGGCAGCTCACCAAGTCCCCACAGGGGTCCCCTGTGTGATGGGGGCTGGAGCACGCCAGGTCTGTAACCAAGTCTCGGGTGCCCATGCCACCACTGCCACCTCACCCTCTCCGTTGTCCCCAAGGACGTAGTCAACAGAAGCCACGGATACATGAGACGCACTGACAACAGCGCGCAAGCCTGTGACCCCAGGACTCAGGAGGCCGAGCCGGAGCAGCACTGCAGATCTGAGGCCAGTCTGGGCCACGCAGTGCATTCGGAGCCAGCCTAGACAATGCACAGTGAGCTATCTCCACACACAGAACAGAGCACAGCAGGACAGAGGGACAGAGAAGGACGAGAGCAAGATGGTTCGGCCTTGTGCTCCCCGCCTCCCAGCCGACCCCATGGGCCCACAGGGAGCCAGCCTGATCTGGAGACCCCCTCGCCTGCACCCTGGCCCTTGAAGAGCACTCATGGGCACAAGTCCCCAGCACTCCGGGGGCAGTGCCACCCTTCTCCGCCTAAGTGCTGCTTCCGGCCATGGCCCTGTGCAGAAGGGCCGGGTGCACCACAGTCCACCTCCTGAGCCCACCGCCTTCCTGGGCGCCGTGGGCCTCTCATCACTGGTGCCCAGCGGCTCCCCATTCCCACTGTCTCCACACAGCTCCGGGGCTTCCTTGCAGCGGCTGGGCTCCACATCGCTGGGTTACGAAGCTCCCCACAACAGACTTCCCTGCCTCGCCACCAACTCAGCCACCAGGGACCCTGCTCCCCTATGGCCGGGCTCTGCCCTGGTGGCGCTGTTTCCTCTGCCATACGCTCAGTCCCCCTGCACCCCAGGCACCTGGGGTCCACCAGCACCCCAAGGACTGGCAGCACGGGGCCCATATGGCAAAGCTGCCCAGAACACCCAAGGTGCCACTAGCGGGCTCATTTTGTGACAGCAGCCGCCCCGGCCAAGGCCACAGTGTCCACACCTCCACAGTGAGAGAAAAGGCCCTGGCCGGCAGCAATGCGAGGACAGTGCGTCCACTCAGGAGCTGGAGGAACCTGGCCGAGGACACGAGGCCCAGCACATGATGCCTGCTGGACCCAGCACTCTGGTGGCTGGGGTAACTTCACAGCCTAGTGAGACCCTGTCTCCAAAAGAGACCGCGTGGTGGTGCTGCTGGGGGTGAGGCTCAGCACACAGCCCAGGTTTGAGCCCCAGCGTCGCTGCAAGACTCCAGTCTCAGGCTCCCAACAGCAGCACTGAGGGGTAACCACACCCCCACAAGTGTTTCTTTCAAATCCATCTGACTTCAAGGAGGAAAAAAAAAAAGAGGAGGAAGGAGGAGGAGGAAGAAAAGAAGAAGAAAAACTAAAAATTTCAAAACATGATAATCAGGGACAACAATGGCACATACACTGTGCACGGTCACCCCAAATCATCCAGCCAGAGCGCAGGACATCTGCCTTCACTCGTCCGCACAGAGCTTTCTCTTCAGAGAACTCGGCCATCAGTGGTCCTTCTAACCCTGACCGGAGTCTCTCTATATACTTACACATACTCACACGCCAAGCTGTTTTGGCTGCTCACACCACTGAGACCATGTGTTCATACATGAGTCTCATCTATCTCACTGATGAGTGTGGTCTCAAGTTGCCTCCATTTACCTACAAAGAGTCTCCAGTTTGCCCTTCTTTATGGCTGAGTAGTATTCCACTGCATAAAAAAAGCCATTCTTTTTTATCCATTCCTCAGAAAAAGGGCGTTTAGGCTGTTTCCCAGATCTGGCCATTACAAACTGCTGCTATAAACACGGGTGCACGTGTCACTGCAATATGGTGTTTTTAATTCTCCTGGGAGATCCTGGAGAGAGGAACGGCCGGGTCAAAAAGGACCTCTAGCTCTCTTTCTGAGGGGCTCCATGCTGACCTCCAGAGGTGCCCCAGCCCGCACCGGGCCGCCGTGGAGAAGGCCCTTCCCCAGCCCTGCTGGGAGCTGCTGTCGGTGACTCCGGGCCGACTTCCGTTCCCTCCGGGCTGAGGTGGACTCCCAGTGCTGTTTTAATGTGCACCTCTCCAACGCCGGGGAACGGAATAGCTTCCCATGTTTACTTGCTGTCCAGGTTTCCTCCGCGGAGAGGTGTGTGTCCACCTCGGCACTGGGCCTTACCCAGGAGGACTGATTTTCTGAGTTCTCTGCACGGTCCGGGAGCAGCCCCGTCCAAGGCGCTGGCCAACTCGCTCTCGCCGCGGGCTCTCCGGCCCACACCCCCGGTGTCGCCCACCCTACTCCTGGGCTGGGCTGCCCTCCGGAAAGCGCCTGCCTAGCACAGAGGCCAGGCCCCACCCTCAGCACTGCAAAGCATAAGTCAGAAAATGGAAAAGGGGAGACAGCGCACCGCGGTGACCCAGCAGCCAGACCCAGCCTCCCGGTTTAACGTGCTGAGCCAGCCAGTGGCCTTCACCCAACTGTGCTCTCAGCCCCTTCCAGTTTTCATCTTGAGGCAAGGTCTCACGGAGCCACCAAGTCGCCCAGGCTGGGTTCAAACTTGTGACCCTCCTGCCCCAGCCTCCCCCCCCCCCCGCTAGGTTACAGGTGTGTACCATGATGCCAGCTACAAACCTTATCCTTCAAGGCAAAACAAACAAACAAAACTGAAACAGAAACAAAACCAGGCATCCAGCACTCCTACGAAACCCTCCAGAGCTGGAGGCCCAGCTCCACGGCAGAGGGCTCGCCTGGCACACAGCAGCCTCTGGCGTCCATTCCCTGCACCAGAAGAAAATAAATAAAACCCTCCAATTTCCCAAGGCCCAACCTGCCAACACTACGGGTCCTTGGGGTGTCCCCCTAACCCCCAGTGTTGGTGCCTCGCCTGACTCACAGGGCCCCAAGAAAGGGACACATGAGCACCCCACGCCCTCGGCCTCGCACAGCGTAACAGCCTGTACCTAGATGAGCCCTCAAACTCTCATGTGGCCTCAGGTGGCGAGTCCCAAAGGTGGCTGGATTAGGGTGGATTAAGGATGTGGTATTGGGGTTAAGGGTACCCCCATGGGTATGGGTGGCACTAATTAATAGGCTTGTAGACTGGACGGAATACAAAGAACAAAAAGAAGCCATGCTTTGCAGGCGTGGTGGCGGACCCCTATAATCTCAGCACTCAGGAGGCGGAGGCTGAGGATTGCTGTGATTTCAGGGCCAGCCTAGGCTGCAAAGTAAATGACGGCCAGCCTGAACTGCAGAGTGAAACTCTGTCTCAAAAACACCAAAAGAGGGCTGAGGATTTAGCTCGGCAGTAAAAGCAGCTGCCTGACAAGCGCGAGGTCATGAGTTCAATCCCCGGTTCCAAAAATAAATAAATAAATACAATAATAAAACAATAAAAATAAATAAATAAAAGCCAGGCTGCCGCTGCCGCTGCCTTCCCGCCTGTGCGCCCCACCCGCCAGGCCCCCAGCCGCCGATTCTCCACCGTGCCGCTCCTCTGCCGTGCCACCCTGCCTGGAAGCCAGTTGACTGAAACCTCCCCATCTGAGCTAACCCTTTCCTCCTTTAACTCTGAGTGTCAGGTATTTTGTCTCAGCAACAACAAAAGCAACCATGGCACAGGGCCACCTCCATCTGTGCAGGCGCAGGGCTCCGGCCTCATCTCCAGGAAAGAGAACTGCTGCCCGTCACCTGCCCAGGGCTGAGCAGAGCGGCTGAGGAGGTTCTCCTGATAAAAAGCCAGTTCAGAGGACGCTGGCAGCTCCTCCACCCTGGGACTCACCAAATGACAACGGCCTTAATGAGCAGGGCTTCCGGCTTCACACCATACGCGGTCCTATGTCAAGGCCCCCAGGGGATGCCTGGATTCTCAGCACAGGAATTTCAGGTATATGCCACTGTGCTAGCCTGCGATACATTTAACTTACAAACTAACACTAATAAGGTAACTATGCCAATGTGCTGTAGATCATGGATTCTATAAAGATGTCCACTCATAGGTGGCGCCTTTGGGAGGTCACTGGACCACTGACTGGTGCAGTGCAGTTCTGCGTGTCGATAATGGGAGACCCGCTTGGGTCTGTAGCCTGAATGGAATCAAAAGGGAAAGGAAGGCGCCCTGCCGCCTGCCTCCTGCGTGCTCTGCCAAGGACTGTTCCTCCTCTGTGGTGAGCCTCTGCTGGGCCGCCCGCCTCTGAACCAGAGGACCATGGGCTGAAACCTCCACAAGCTGTGAACTAAAATAATCCTGCCCCACTTTCACCTGTGAGGGCAGGGTATTCTGTCCCACCAACAACAAAGTCAGTAAGGCTCTGTAATACATTTGCACTTTGAGGCCCTTACTGCTAAGTAGCAAACTCTGATAACCGAACTGGCTGCTGAGTGAGCTCTTGGGGGCAGCCTCTGCCACCTGGAGACTGGACAAGGGAAGATTCCCATCTGGGCAGAATGTGTGGGATGCCCCAAGACCCCAGCATATAAAAACCCGAACTTAAGCTCAGGAAGTGCCCTGGCATTCTCCACCCAGTGCTGTGGGGCAGAGGTGATCCCTAGGTAACAGCAGCCATTGCAGTGGGACGACAAGCCTGCTCCTCAGGGACACACACAGACTAGTGTGTGCTAGGAGGGCAGTGAGTACTGGCAAGACCTGCGTGAAAACCACACCCAGGACCAGGCACACCAGGTCTGAAAGCAGATGTAGGCGTGGCCTCTGGCCTAGGTGAAACCCACAGCCTAAGGGTCTTGGGCCTCTCCACTGGGGCCTCCGCTCTCTTGCCCAGGGGATACACCCAGGGTGTCTCAGAGCTTCTTTTGGGTCTGTGTT